ATAAAATTTAATATTAGAAATAACATAGAAATGTCTTTAAAGAGAGATAGGAGGCCCCAATTGAATATTAGAAGGACTAGTGAGATAGAATCAAAGGTGAAAATAAAAGATATTTTATCTTTGTAGCTATCATGGAGTAGCATAGTAATAGTAGAAGATAACATGCCTTCAACTCCAGCATTCTTGTCATCATGATTGTCACTAAGTATGGTCCTTTAGGGATAGAGTGTTTAAAAAAATTTGATACTAAGAATTGTTGTTGCAGAGTCTAATTTGAAAAAATAAGTTTCATCAAGAAAACATCAGAAGTAACTTAAATTTTACAAAGAATAAAAAGATATACTTTATAATCATTTAATTCGTAATCAATTTCTAGATAGATTCTAAATTTTGATTTAGATTCAAGTTTGTATCTTTGAATGTTCTTATTTTTTATGAATTTTTTTTTTTTAATACTATTATTGAGCTAATATTTAGATTTGTTTTGAAGAAAAAAGTAGTCAAGATGCATACCTTGGTTTGCTCAAGTAGGGTTGCAATTTATGAGTTGAACATTAATATGGACAACTTCAACTTAGAAAAATAAAAATATGCTCCTACTTATCAATATGATTTATATCTTATTCAATATATATATATATATATATATATATTAGATATCTTATTTTGTTGAAGAGTACGAGCAATTAAAGTATGATACCTTGGTCTTATAGATATTTGATGAATTCTTGCAACATGAACTCTCCTCCTTCCTTAGATTGAAGCAAAAAAATGTAGGTTGAGGTTAGTTACTCAATTAATATATAAAATTTCTTTAACATTTCAAGACATTGATCTTTATAATCATGAAGTAGATCTAAGATTTTTTTAGAAAATTTGTCAATAAATACAATAAAATAATGTGAATGAGCTAAAAATTTAACTAAGAGAGGCCCGCATACATTGACATATATAAATTGTAGAGGTTTTGAGGTCCTAGATATTGTTACTTTAAAATTTTGGATTCTACTTTATTTATCTTAATAACAATGACTGCATATTTGAGTTTTTATTAAAAAAAATATAAAGTTTTAAAACTAAATTAATTATTTATATATGTTTAAGGTTCTTATAGTTCAAGTGCCCAAAAAGCAAGTACTAGAGATATGTGAAAGGTTTAGTAGATTTATGAAGTGTTTTTAGTTTAAAAAAATTTGTATTCTACTTAGGTACCTCTATTGATTTAATTTAAGTATTAATATATAAGTTATGTATAGCTAATTTTTCTAACTTCTACAATATATTTTCAAGATCTCTTTTATCTTTACCTATGATTCTATGTGGCTTATTTGCAAAAATAATAATGCATTGTTTGGGTCTAAAAATGCAAAAATTACCAATATTTGTGATTTGTTCTATAAACAAGTTATTTCTTCTTAGACCATAGACATAGCAAAATTCTTTCACGATTTTTATTTCTATAGTAGGCATTATACAAGTTTACAGATCTTTATCCTAAAATTACATAGATATATTTTTTAGTTGAAATTATTGTATTGCTTTGAGTATGTTCTATCTAATCAAAAATACAATAGTCTCTAGTAAAATGCTTCAAAGCATCAAAGTCTAAAATCCATTTACTATCACCCTTGTCATTGAAAGCTAATAGTTCAAACACTTCTAAGATACTTTCATTATTTGATAGATTAGAGGAAAGTAGGATGTTTATAGAATTCTTTAATGATATTAATGCCATAATTATTTTTTGTTGCTAATATAAAAACAAATATGCTTGAATTTTAAGCACTAAGGCAAGTATTAGGATTAGAGTTTGTATAGCCTTGGTGAAAAATCATGTTAGTTAGTGCACAACAGATATTTGAAGTGTGCTCTTCTTTGTTGCATCAATGACAAAAGAATGAATCTTATAATTGTCCTTGTTGGTAATAACAAGGTCCTTAAAGTCTATTTATTCTATCAACAAGGTCCTTAAAGTCTATTTATTCTATCTTAATTCCAACCTTAGCCATGTGAATGTCCTTAGTAGAGTTTATTGTGATAGAGATTTTGAATCTGCATAATAAGAGCTTTATTAATATATTATTGTGTAATAATACAACCATTAGGTTAAATATATATATATATATATATATATATATATATATTATAAAAGAGTCTAATTGAAAATATATAGTAAAAAAATGTAGATAAATGATAGGCAAATAGTAAAATCTATTAATATTGGAATTGTTTTTTATAAAAATGGATTCAATTTACCTTGTAGAGCCATAAATAAGTCAAAAAAAGGTAGATTAAAAAATAAAGAATATAGATATATGTAAGAAAGAGTTAGAAGTTAATTTTAGTAAAAATTACCTCAAAAAGATAAGAATTGATATCCAAAGAGGACTAGTTTCTAACCAAGGTTGAAATCAGATTCTAAGATATAAAACCAAGAACCTACAGTGACTCCAAAGTTCTTTGTAAATTAGAAAGTAGAATTTGAGAATAAACTTTTAAAAAAAATTTTGAATATTAGTTTCATATCATTTGGATTAATCCTAAATCCTAAAATTTGTATTAAATTTTAGTTGGAATTATTAGGATTTGTTAAAGATTTCATTAGGATTTAATTAAGATTTAATTAAAATTTATATTTTTTATATTTTTTAAAGATTTTTTTATTATATCTATTTTATTAAGATTAATTTATTATTTCTTTATGTTTCTTTTGTAAGTTATTGAGATTTCTTTTGGATTTAATTAAAGATTGATTAGCATTGTTATAATTTAATTAAATTTTATTTAGAATTCTATTAGAATTATTAAGATCATCTTGTTGCAAGTTCCATTTTTCCTTCCACAACTTAGTATTTAGTACATTCTCAAGCAAACTTCACATAATACAACAACATTCTTAAGATTTTTTGAATGTCGCATTAGTTTCTTCTATATGCAAATAATTCCATAATTCTTCTAGAGATAGTAAGTTTATTTTTTTTTTCATGTGAATCATGAGTTTTTCAAAATGTTTTAGTAAGCAATTTAGTGTTCTATGAACTAAACTCCAAGAGGTTGCATCAACTCTATGGCTTTTAGATCCCCAATAACATCATTAATGAATTGCATTAAAAAAAAAAGTGTTTTGGTATTTGCTCATTTGTAGGTATTTTCATGAATTTAATACAACCATGGTGTCAAAAATAGTATTTTTGAGAAATATATTCTTAAGAAGGTTTTGGGTAGTTTTAAGATCTTAAATATTGAAGATGATGTAGTATAGATCTAGAACAAGGGAGAGTTGTAAAAAGGCCTTCATGCATCTCATTTCCTTGTAATTCACATCAAGTATACATGATGTGGTAGTGAAGTATTTTACTCATACTCCATTTTTTTTTTTGTCGTTATTCATAGAAGAGTTGTCTTTGAGTTCAATGAGATTCTATAGATCTTCTTTTTTAAAAATACTCTACATCATCATGGCCTAATGTTAGTAGTTTTTGAGTCTTATCAACATAGTTTCTTTTAAAGATATGCTCTTGTAAGTACTTATTTTGTGTTCTTTTGTAGGATATAGAGATATACTACAAAATGTTTGAAAAGTAGCAGAGGTATAAGCATTGAGGAGAAGAAAATAGAAAGAAAAAAAATTAGATCTAGAAAAATAGAGTCTTATATAAAAGCTTAGTATAAGTAGGAAAAAAGAATTAGATAGAAATATAAAAAATAAAAAATAAAAAATAAGGACAATGTTTATAGATGCTATTATATTATAAATAAAAAAAAAATTGATAAACAAGGAAATAAGCCAATGTTTATTAATAATGAAAAAATAGAAAGAACTTTGATAAAACAATAATGCTTTAAAAAACACTCTAGGAAAAAATACTTGTTCTAATATTACAAAGAAATAATAAGAAGAATCAAAGGAAAAAATTCAAAGAATATAAAATAATATTCATATAGACTTTATTTAATAGATGGATGTAAATCTGACAATAAACAATATTATGTTTCTAATAGTATCCACTCAATGTGATATTCGAGATTGAATATTTGAGAATGCTTCAAAATTAAAGTTATCACAAGAGAGACTTCAAATCTTTTTTCCTATGAAAAGGATCTTGAGATCATCTTTGCCATTGTCTATTAAGTTTATAAGTTTTCTTATTCCCAAATTGGAGTGGTTACAAAAATTAAATATGGAAATAAAGTAGATCAATGTTAAGATTTAGGCGGATTGATTTAATATTTTCTTATATATTTAACATTATTATGTTATATAATCTTATTCATATTAGTGAAGCTAAGCTATATTTTTAAAGTTGAAAGTTATTCATGTATGACATCATTGATTTGTTGCAACTTTAGCTTATTAACAGAATAGGTCTTCCTTAATTAGTGTTGAATTCTATTAAACCTCAATTCTAAATACATTTAAGTAGACAGAGTCATCGATGATGTATATATAACATTGTTTTTTACAATTTTGTATATGAGTAGATCACAAGTACATAGAAACAAATAGACATTGCAAACAAAATACGAAAGTCCTAAAGCTCCAAGATGACTGCAAACTACACAAGGTGACAAGTAGTTGTACCAAATAAGTTTACAATTGTGAATCCCAACCACGAAATCCTGCCCTTCCCCGATGAAAAAAAATATAACATGCAACAGTTGGATCCGCATTGTTTCAGAAAATAAATTACACAACAATTGGAAACACAACACGAATAAGACCTAAAAAGTAAACAAACCAGTGGCATCGGCAATTTCAGGACTGGATTGAAGACTTGAACAGTGTCGAAGAATGAACGAGAAACCGAGCCAACAGAATAGGATTTCTATAAATATAAATATAAATACATGGAATGTGCTGCTGTAGATTCACGATGAGCCTGTAAGATGCCGCCAACGAAGTTTCTAGCGGAATTGATCCGCTGGCTTCATGTTTATTGCCGCCGCTCTCGTTGTGGCGTCGCGTCGGAGGGAGACCGTGGCGCACAAGAGCACAACGTGGCCAACGCCAATCCCCTTACCTTTCACAACAGCCATTCCCTGGTCCCAACTCCCGGAATTCGCTTCTGGGTTGTTGCGCATCGCAGTAGTTCATTCTCTGAAATTAGGGTTTGAGGTATTCCATGGCAGCGCAGGAATTGCGATCTCAGCGATGAGGGATCCTGGGTTGTTCGCACTAGTTTGGGCCGACGGGATCTGGATGTCTGACAGGAAGGAGACTGGGTAAAAGGGGTGACCACCGAAGCGAGGTGTGTGTGTGCGTTTGTGTGAACTTAGTTTTGGCTTGGTGCCCGGAGTTGTGACGGGAGCCATGGCGGCCCTTGGCGCTACTAAATTCTTGGTGCTGGTCGGTGCGGGGCTCATGGGATCAGTGATGGTTAGCAATAGTAAGCTCGCTGACTTTGTTGGTGATCTCTCCAAGGTAAGTGTATTTTTGAATTCCACAATCTTTCCTGCGGTGTGGATGGGCTTTTTGCGATTTGTCGTTGGATTTATGTTTCTAAAGTTTGAAGCTTGAGTTTAGGGTTTCGGTGGCGATCGATGTAGAGCCTTTGATTCGCTTAATTTTGAAAGGCGAAATCCGTTTGTGGAGGAATTTGGCTTTCAGGAGTGACAGAGATGAGAGCGATGTTAGATAGCCGTAGGAATTTCCTAGTAATCTAGTACCACATCGAATTAAGTTATCAATGCGCTGTCAATCAGTGGAGTGAAACGGGGTGAATGGGTTTTTTGATCATCGATATTTACGATGATGCGGTCTTGTTAGGTTTTGTCGAAGCATCTGAAAGAGAACGGACAAAAGGGAGATGGAGTAGGAAAAGATGCTGCACTCAGTTTACAGGTTCGGAAACTAACGGAAGAGCTTCGAAATCTAGCCTCTTCCTCAGGGACAGTCACTGTTGTGCAATCAGGTTCCGGGTCAGGAACCTCGTTCACGTCATTCATCTTGCCAGCTGCTGTTGTAGGGGCTGCAGGTTACAGTTACATGTGGTGGCGTGGTTTCTCCTTCGGAGATATAATGTATGTCACAAGGAAGGGCATGAACAATGCTGTGACGGGGATGGGCAAGCAGCTAGATCAAGTCTCTGCAGCTCTTTCATCGACAAGGAAACACATGAATCAAAGGCTAGATAGTGTGAGCAGCAAATTGGATGATAGTGTTGTTGTAACAGGGTTGATTAAGGATCAAGTGGAAGAGGTGAAAGGCACGGTTGGGAGAAGTATATATGAAATTGGAAACGTTAATCGGAAGATGGAAGATCTAGGCGTGAAGATTAGTGAGGTTCAAGAGAGCCAGAATTTCGCCAATCAAGGGATTATTCTACTGGTTGAGTGGGTGCACCGTCTCAATCTCGTTGCTCCTGCCAAGAATCGAGAGCTTGCACAAAGTTTCAACTCATGGTATTTGAAGGCTAACAGTATGGAGAGATCCGCATCATCTTCAACTCTTCTCACTCTTCCAGGCCTAAAGCAGTTATTTTCAGAAGCCTTGGAACCTACGCCATTTAATAACTTCCCTGAGGGTACACCTGTAAGGGACTCTGATGAATTTAAATCACCTGGCTTGAACTTGCCAAGCCCTAGCTTGGGCTTTTCAAGCAATCATACTCCAGCGAGGACAAAGTCCGCATCCATGGTATCCAGGTCCTCATTTGGCCGGTTGTCTTCAGGTCTTTCTTCATTTGCTGGATTTTCGGGAATAGCCTGTTATCTTGCCTAATACTTTCCTGTCCTGACAGAATGTACATCTTGAATTATAGATTTTGTTTTTTTTTATTTTTTTTTTTAATTCATTCAAAGTTTGCGGGGTAGCTGTTCCCTTTTACCTTCTTTTCCTTATAACATAATTTTAAAATACGTAATAGTTTAGTTATAGAGAAAGAGATGTTTACAGGATCAAGGCCATTTATGGTTTCTGTCCCTACAGGTCTTGAAAGTAGATCCAGTATTGAGTTAAAGGAGAGGACTTTTGCTAAAATGATCCCTTACAATCTATTTTTATCTTTACAGAGGAGTTAAGATAGAAGAGTTTCGGATAAGAAGGGTGCGGCAAGCAGAATACTAAAAAAAATTAGTTTTTTTGTGTGGTACTTTTATTCCTAGAGTATTGACCCTTCGTGCTGAGAAGCATGCGACAATGGTCTCCTGCAGTTTGTGGAACTTAAAGACACTTGCAATTGCCCCGAATTCAATACAGCGATGTACCTTTCAGTACTTTGTCAGTGAGAATCTCCACATCTCCACTTGTAATGTTGAGAAGTTTTCACAACTATTAGCATGGGAACAAATCTTGTCATAACTCGCTTGAGCGTTATTCAAATCTATTATGAAATGATACAAGTCTCAGTTGAATCAGCCGCAGTTATGAGGAGTATTCAACCTGTGATTCCTTTTGGGATGGTGATCAAATGATAGCATCAGTTAGAAGTGTAGAAATTAAGTTGAGGAGTTGGGACTGTGATTCGAAGGTGGTTCAAGTGGTTCAATACGAGGAATATTTTTGGTTTAACTTGTGGTTGTAACTCAAGTTAAATAGTTTAGATTACAACAAATTCTATCACTAGGTCCATATTTTGTGCAAGAAAAATACATCAATTATTGTCTTTTATAATTGATTCTTTTATAACTAATAGAGATTATTTTGTAATTAATGAACATTATACTATTAGAAGAATATATTTCTAGACAACTTATCAATATGATTATCTATATGATAATGATATGCTTAAGTGACATTAATATGACATTGTGATAACAATCAAATATTTATAATGTTATTTGAAATAATGTTTTAAGATTTTATGGCTTTATATAAGTTTGGAAGGTCTTAGAATATTAGTAGGTAATCTTTATAAAACTAACAAATACAATTAAATAAAAGTAAATAATATTATGAATAATTTAATTATTTTAAAAAAATATCTATCTAATTCTTTTTGTATGTATTCCAAATATATATATATATATATATATATATATATATATAATTTTCTTTATTTACTTATATTACAAAATTTATTAGTACATGAAAATTCACCATCTTAAGTGACTAGCAATAAGGCCTTACTAATATTTCTAAAGACTTATAAACAAATGAAGGATCTATATTGGTATGAATGTATATTAAGTTACAACTAATGTTGTATAAAATTAATGAAGCAATATTCATACTTTCTTACTACTATCTTTAGGATACATCATACAATAAAAAGAAATATGCATTGAATCACAAAAGATGGTATATAAGTATATAAGTATATATGGTTGATACTTGTTGCCTTTTCTTTTTGCAAATTCTATTCTAATCCCCTTCCAAACTAAAACTTTAATCTAATGGTTGTCTCTAATAGTAGGACTCTCTTCTAATCAATAGCATCTTCTTTTTTCATAATGGTCTTGTTATTTGTTACTTGCAGCCCTTGACTACTTGTATTATCCAACATTATGTTACTAATTCTATTTTATGTCATTTTGCTGCATGGTGGATTTGCAAACTTTTGTACTTGTTATTTCAATAATATTTTCAATGATGGATACTTATTGTTTTATAGAACTTTAATTCCAGCCTCCTAACTCCTACTTTAGGTCATGCCAATCTCATATCTCTCAATTGATTGATCCAGTAGTCATTTACTTTTTGTCCATGTATACTTTATAATTTCATTATCTTTGTGAACTTTTTCCTAGTCAATATATTATTTGAAAATTTTCTATATTTTTAGTCACAAAATATAATATAATAAAATTAATTTGCATACGGTTAAAATACGGAACTTGGTTGATGTTGCATATGCAAATACGAACACCCGAAACATAGAAGAAAATGTTGCCATGGACACTAAATTCTGGGATAATTAAGCATGAAAACTCTTTAAATGTTTTGCTTCATTGGCATGTGGTTTAATGTGACAAAGTGTAAACTTGTCACTGTGGAATCAGTATCCATTCTGGTCATCCAATCACCATATCAAAATCTAGAGGGACTGAAAAGTTAACGGAAACATGAACCAAGTTCCTCCATATTCACAAGGAAAAACAAAAATCCTTCTTAAAATCTTTATTAAAATGAAGACATTATTTTCCTTATCAAAGTCTAATCAATCAGTATTCAAATTGAGCACAACAGATTTCACCCTCATCTTCGAATAGAATCCAGGACATTTGCAACTTCACTTCAATATCAATGCTTGAATCTCAAAAACCAGATGGTATCATACAAATAAGTTGATTACAAAAGTTTTGCGTATGTTATAAACATAACAAGTGCGCAAGAATTCCTTTCACAAGGGAACACTTGAGTTTACAGAAGCTACATGTGGGGCCTACGGGAAGGAAAACTGTTTCCATATTGGCTACACAGGCAGGTCGGTGACCGAGTGCATAAAACGGTGACTGAAATGCACTGGGTTCGAACTACACAAAAATGTTCAGAGGATCCGCCGTCTCCCGGCTAAGGTGAACATAAGGAGGAGACAGCCCTACTTCAACCACTGAGGACACACGAGATACAGTGCAGAACAGTTTTTCCACAGGTCAACTTGCCTGAACCAGCACGAGTGTCTCACAAACTAACTCCCTACCCAGAGGTATCACACGTAGGATATGGCCGACTCCTGGGTTTCCAATTTCTTAGATTCTGGTCTCTTTTCTCCGAGCGGAGTGAACAACACTCTCATTTCTGGAGCCCACAAAGGTGTACAAGGTACACATAATTCCAATAATCATCGTAAGCCTAGTGTGATAATGATACTTTCAACCTGGCCAGGATCATCCTCCACTTTTTAACATGCCATCATGCATTAGTCGAGTCCTGAGATCACACAAGCCTACCATGCCCAACCCGCACAAGGCAAAAGGTACTGTAAGTGCAATAACACAGCTCCACACAAACAGAAAGGGTTGAAGTTAACAAATACTAAACAAGAGGAGGTTGGACGAGAACTAGAATCTGAAGTCTCACGCTCGTCAAGGAATATGCCTATGTATCAATCATCTCATCTTGCAGTTCACTTGGAGCAACCAATCCAGGAATGCTAAGCATTCGCCTTCTTTCTGCCTCTCTTTGTACAGCAGCTTCTTCAGCATACAGGTCATTGTTATCCTGCAAATCATCTTCAATATTAGTGACTCCGATCCACAGCCAATTGCTTCGTGATGAAAATTGTAAAAGCTGTAGAAAAATCCCTATTACGTAACATGCAATACTACACCTCAATTCGATATGGACTTGGATGCTACAGGCAAAGCCACAAGTTGTTCTCATAACAGCTTCATCACGAAATCAGAAAGAGAGAAAAGTCATGTTCTGACTGAAAAATATGAGAACCTGAGCTGAAAACTCCTTGGATTGGATCAAGAAGTCACGAAGTTGATTCTTGAAAGCTCCCAATTCATCTCGAGTCTCAAACAGCCCATTTACAAATGTTGTCACCTACACATAAGAAAAACTAAGTAAGAAGGTATTGCAGATCACTGCGATGTCAGCAACGAGCAACAAACGTACGAGAGAGTGACTAATGCAATAGTAGAGAGCCTGATAGCTTCAAATTCCGAAGCTGTAAAGCTAGGGGAACGCTTTCACCAGAATAACTCGATTATAAAGTCATAAAGCACGATACAAACCAATTAACTCGAAACTGGGAGGCTTCCGAATCCCATCAACATGATGGATAAAAAATAAAATAAAAACAATATAACATGCCTCAAGTAGAGTCATATTGGGAAACGACGTCCCCAAAAGCTTGATGGTGTAGTCTCGAACAAATTCCATATTATTTGGGAATGCTGTTGAACCTAATGTTGCTACATCCCAAAGTGGTTGAGTGAGAGCCTGTGAATCAACCTGAACAGAGCTGAACTATGTTAGACATGCATGGCAACCTTGGAACCATGTTTTCATGTTAAGTGCAAATATAAGTATAAATATTTAAAAGTACATGTACATCATGGACGCCGAAGAAGTGAGATGAGGGAAAGAAATACCAGACAGAATAAGTGCTGGAGAATTAACACATGCAGTTTGAATCCTGGCTTGTGGAAGGTGTCAGTCAAAACAGCAAATAGTTCTTGTTCAATAGTAAGAAAGTAGGTTTGATGAAACTGATTACAAAATTCTGACGCCTACACCACAATAAAGAACCACAAAAATATAAGAACGAAAATAGAAAAGCCATGCACATTCAAACCTGCAAAAAAGCTGTAAATAGAAACAAAACAACCAAAAGTCGAACCTATGAACATTAAACTGTGCAAGTAACAAGCAAGAAAAAACCGCACTAGGAATAACTAAAAGTATTAAAAATATCATCGAGAAATATGTCATGATAAGTTATATATGAACACAAAAACATGCAAGGTGTTGAAGACCTTACTTGGAAGTTAGTTAGTATTTCAAGGAGGAGATTAAGCCCAGTCTCAGCAACGTTGCGTTCTGTGTGACGGAATGCCCAGATTATGGAATCCATCACCAATTTCAGTTGCTGACATAAGGCACAAAAAATCACAAACACATGCTTCAATGTACAAGTTTTTAACAATTGAGATATTTTCATATACAACTCACTATCACATGGTAAACAGAAGAAACATCTGATATGTTCTGAATGAAATTGGCAGAAAAGACAATTCTACTAAAATGCTTGCATCAATGACCATCAGCATGACTTTACCTGGCTAGACAAAGTGAAAAGAGCACGGAAACAATGGCTTGCAATCGCCCGCAAAAGTGAAAAGAACTTCAGCCGATGCTCTGGGTAATCTTCAAAGTTTTTGGTAATCATCTGCGCAACCAAGATCTGATGTAAAAATTCCGAAACTAAAGTCTCTTCAACGGCACATCTAGAAAACTATACTATACCACGACATACAGGATAACAGACACGTCCCCCAAATACAAACTATTTGCCAAATACCTCAAGAGTGCATGCAAACACAGCTTCAAATATTCTGGGAACGTCATCAATCATGGCACCCTTTAACCTGCAAAACAGTCTTCGATCATTAGAATTCATGGAAATATGCTACAAATTACAATTCGAGGGAAGAAGAACATCACTTCTCCGCCTACCAATCACAGAAGCACACTTTTAACGTTGTATTTATACCGTTCATTGATGCCTTTGCTAAGAAAAAGTTGGACAAAAAATCACAAATTAGTAAGATTGTAGAACGCACTTGTCAATGATGGTTGCAAACAAGGACAAAACTTCAGATTCGCGGGCGTCAGAGACGTTGCGGGCATAGTCACCCAAGATGGGATCCATCATAGCTGGCACAAAATTCTTAGCGATCAGTTCCACATCTTCAGCTTTGTCCACAAATGTTTCAATCAACTTTAGTGTTTCACGCTTGACGGACCTGCAGAAAGTGTTACAACAAATAAATAAATAAATAAATAAGAATGAATAGCAATATCAATGTCAACAGCACAGATGATCATGCTGTTAGTGAACAAAATTGAGATAAGTAAAGATAAGACATGATATTAAACTTAATTTAGAAAGACTAGACTTGTAGAGCTCCGATTCCATACCTCAACAGCTTGACAAATGAAGTCCTGGATGCAAAGGGTCCTCCTTCAGCAATGCTACTTGATATGAGTTCACTGTACATTCTGCACACATCGATACACCTCCTTGTATATAACAGCTATCCAAATAATCCCCTAATGTGGACAATAATCAATAGCAGCTGAGAAAATAATATAAGATCTGAATCTGTTAAGCTGCAGAAACGACAAGCTTCACATATCACACATTGTGACCAACGAGGCTCTGCAAGATACAGTCACCTTACCTATAAACATTTAGCATATCCAAGTAAATCAATGAGATTTGAGCTAGAAAGGCTTGGCCGAGGGAGCTGGCTACACTAGTGTTCAACTGCACACAATCAAGAAGAACACACATTAGACTGGAGAAATGACTAGGTCATCAAAAAATTTCATTGCTTCGTAGAAAGGTATCACTACTTCAAATTTTTTGGACACAGATCAATTAATTCTATCCCACAACTGATCGAACATACCATTGATTCCAAGGTTACAGAGGGCATACCTGCAGAATATTAAGTACGGCTCGAACGACTTCCACTGATTTTAAGTACTCAACGCTTTGACGAGCTTGACCGATGATTTCTACCCATCTCTGCACAAAGAGCGCATCTTAATCACACATAACAAGTGTAAACGACATAGAAACACACACACACACACAAATTAATTCTGACCGACTAGAAATCCTTCGATATATTCCTTTTCTATGTAAAGCGATGAAATGCAAAATTCCATCAAATCAACAATAACACGAAGTACTTGCGCAATATTCAACCTGGTTGGGAAGTTCCATGAGTTTCTGCAGATATTCATCCCGTCTTTGAGGGTCTGATTCAGCTTGAATCATGAATCCAACCTGAAATCAAACTGAAAGTAATTAACAACCACTTTTACTGCATCCACAATTCAATTCCTAAATTTATAGAGTGATGAAGAAGCAAGAATTTTCCAAAGCAAGCGTTGGAAAGATGACATATACCAACTTAAAAACAAGTACATTCTGAACAAACGTAGCAAACGAATCACAAATCCTAGAATACCGCTTCATAAAATGTATGAATTTGATGGGCTTCCAGATCCAGAATAGTCGTAGGTAAACCCTTCAGAAGCTCGCATACAAAAGGTTCCGTCTCTCCGACCTGGAGAGCAAAGTCAAAGACTACTTCATCATTGACAAACTCAATTCGATAATTATCTTCTCAAAAGACTAAACTCGATAAAATTAGATTCAGTAGAATCCAGAGCATGTAACAGACGAAACGAAGAAGGCGTACCTGAAGAATAACGAACTTTCTTCTACACTTTTGAACTATCTTCAAAAATGTATCACAGGCCATATCCTAAACAATGCAAAATACGTTAGTGACTCTTCGAAAATTAATTCTTTACAAAAATGAACAAAGGTAGCCAACGATTCTCCTTTGTTCGAATAAGTATGATGAATATTCTTACCAATTCGATTAAAAACAACACACGCACACACACACACATATATATATATTTATTTATTTATTTATTTATTTATTTATTTATTATTCCAGCAATGTTTTCAGGGCGGGTAAAATTAAAACAGGAAAAATAAGTAAGAAATTTTATTATTATTATTATTATTAATGAAGAAGAAGAAGAATCGATGAAATAAAAAGGAAATTACGAAATTCCAAATGATGAAAACAATCATGGGTACTGATCTCTTATCAAACATCTAGCTGGAAGGCAGACTATGGTACCTGAACACCAGGATGAGTTTCGTGCATGAACTCAAACAGCTTATTCACTACTGTCTTCAAAAACTTCCAGTGAGCTCTCAAGAACCGAGGGTACTGCCCCACTACATACCTGAGAAAGTGCAAGTAAATTTCATTCAGAGGAAGACCAAGCAGCCTATTGAGTTTCTGAAAATTTGAGTAATGATCTCACTAATAGGCTGCTGATCATTACTGAGATCAGCCTATTGAGTAACTCAGTAATGATCTCATTAATACACCTAATGTGACCATTACATCAAAATCTACAGATCGTGAGGCACAGACCAGAAAATTCAAATGTCCAAGAAGCTATTGAACAAGTATTTGTACATACATAATGTTACTGGCAATCACTGCTTTGTTGTCTTTGCCTTTTGTGATTTCACACAGGTTGAGCAGATCACGAATCACAGTGACGAGAAAACGATTTTCCTGCTTGACCCAAAAACCTCACATTTAGAAACTGGCGAAAAAAGAGAACTAAAATTGCATAAGAAGATCTAAACCATTCCAAATGCTCAGAACGATAACGTTAGGAAAAGACTCGATGTTAAACCAGTAATTCACCTGGTCTTCAACCATAGAGCCTGAAATGGAGCCTATAGCCCAGCAGAGTGTATTTAAATTGTTCCAAGCCCATTCCTCACCATTTAATTGCTTGCTGAGTTTCCGAAGCATCTGCAATTCTCAAGACCGGTCCCAGAATGTCAAGGATCACGTAAGAGCAATACTAATAAAAGGGAGCATGGGTGCCCATTCATGCATGTAGAGCAAAGAAAACCAATGAAAAAGTCGTTACAATATTAGGTCAGTTGCGACATGAAGGAAAGTTAACCTGCTGCTCCGTATCCTCATGATCCAAATGAGACAAATAAATCAAGGTCTCCCTCATAATCTGCATAAGCACAACGCAGTGAGTCAAGACTCATTTGATTTGTGCATCGAACTTGACTGAAGATCATCAACTTACAGAGGACACCGACACAGACCATATTAAAAAAAAAAAAAAAAAAAAAAAAAAAAAAAAAACGGATATTGAATATTCAAAAGAGAGAAGCACCAAGAAGGCAATAGTAATGCACCTTATACTGAACAAGAACATCGTTGTCTTTCATAGTCTCCCGTACAATGTTGCCATTTTCATCTTCTACTATCAAAACTTCCTCTGGCTTAGCCATGCGACTGATCATCAGCAGCCTTAATTTCGATAATGGCCCCGAATACAACGCTCTGCGATGGGAAAGCAGCGTGGCCATCCCATTCAACATTCCTCCAACCTGCGGACTCATTTCAAAACTTAAAAATCATAAAATACGCTTTATGTGACTTGAAGGGATAGAACGTTCAGTGCCCCATATAATATGTACTTACAAAATATGATCAAGGACACAAAAAGTTAATCAGAAGAGAAAGCCTTCTTACCTGGAGACCCAAGGGACTAGGTGGAGCGGGAGTTTCCATATTGCACTCTGACTGGAAGAGATCGCAAACGAGTGAATTCCAGTAGTCCAAGCAAACCTATATGGGTTCACCAACCACATTAATAGCAATCCCACACTGCCGGAATAACAAGGATATATACTCTGATACGATCGTTAACCCCATCAAACACAAAGGTGAATGTGATAGAGAAAGCAAACACAAAAAGTTGATCCAGATTTCTATCAATTATAACTTAAATGGAACATTGAAAACCAGACAAAAATATCAAAACCTTTCCACTGCACGCAAATATTATTCTATACCTCAAGTGCCATGGAATTGTCGATTATCCCGACACCCCCAAAACTCCCATACTTCGCAACTTAAGAATGCAGGTCAAACTAAACTAAAAACCAAAGCCAATACCAGTAAATCTTTGCTGTCTCTCCGAGCAGTGCATCATAAACAAGGCATAGAATGCACACCTTAAAAACCTCCGTATCATCTACGTATGAGATACCGATCAAATACTCCAAGCCCATCAACAAAGCAGTTCGATTCTCTGGAGTTGTCTCCAACACCCCAATGTGTGACTGCGAATCCCAAATTGTCCCTCATTTCAGTCCAATAATGCACGTAAATAAAATCCACTTCTAAGTGGATCTTTAAAATTTGTACAAACTAATAAACAAACAATTAAAACCTTCGGAATTAAGAGGCAACGAGACATCTGAACGATGTGATGCTATAAAGGAATATTAAGTGCAGAAAAAGAGGGTAAAAATGAAAATCAGAAAAACCTTCAAGAACGATGTGAAAAATATTGCCAAGTTTTGTATGAACGCCTGCAAAAACCGAGGGCAGAACGTATCAAACATAAGGAGGGGTGACGAGACAAAAGTCAGCAATATACCGCATAAGATATCTACGAAACTCACAAGCTTGGTCAGTATTCCAGACCAGACGCAGGGGTCACCCGGACGTGCACTCATTTCCACGTAGTAGAAGATGATTAGGTATTAGTAAATTATGAAATAGACGACTAAGAATTAGAAAGATCAGGTAAGTGCAACTTTGATGTAGCAGTTTTAAACATAGAAGTTTTATAACGGAAAAAGGCATAAGCCAAACCTGATCCTCATCTGAACCACTTGCATAAGACTCTGGTACATTGGTGCCTGGAGGTAATATAACCTGCCATAATTCCATGCATAGATCATGTCACAGGTATATAAATGCACTAGTAATCTAAACTGAAATGAAAGCAAATTCCACATAATACTACGCCAGAAGATAGGATGTAGACTATCAGAAACCTTCATTAAAATACAATAACACGTTCATCTACCTTCGTGACAAAATTCAAAACCCATACATCTGACAAAATATATTTCCTGTTTGATACCACCGATTAGTATCCTTAATGATCCCTAATAGTTTGACAACCCATATGATTCTTTACCTGCAATTGTACCATGAAAATAGTGTAAAGTTTCACGAATTGAGCATCAAAGTAGCCTCCACAACTGAGGGCAACCACCTGCACAATACTGATTCCTTCAACCCATGTTCAAAGTCTCCATACACAACAAAAAAACAAAAGAATCAATAGAACAGATTTGTAATTTTAAAAGCATAATTTGAAATGCGGCCTAGCCGAACTTACCTCAGATAGACATTGCAATGCTAAGTTACGATAGCTAATAACAGGGAATAACTTCAGCAATGTCTCCAGCTGCACGTTTACCACGGGTAAATGAATGGATAAATTGTAAACACCGAATCGCAAACAAACAAACAAATCTGCATCAACCTACAATGAACGGCAAGCGCAAGGCTAGTTTTTGATAGTCGGATCGCGTCAATGAAATTGTGATCTATGCTTGAGATAGCACTGAATTTATTGAGACCAAACATGGTATTGAGAGAGAGAGAGAGAGAGAGAGAGAGAGAGAGAGAGATGATAACAATATTAGACTAGTAGTAAGTTTTTAAAATAAAACTCACCAGCGCTGACTCGAAGATGTAACCAAGTGGGATCCAGGATAGAAAAGCGTGTAGAGTGGCCAATGTCGCTCGAATAAGCTCAGGATGTTGAGACATTGATAAAACATATTGGCATAGTTCATGAATGAGCTGGAATTCACTGTTGAACAAGTCCGCAATTCCAAATGAAATACGTCAATTCCAAAAAATCGGCCAGTAACATATGATTCATGGATGCAGATGACTGAGCCGTCACTCATTGAAAACTAGATCCTTCAAAAGAACGAAGGCGATGACGTTAGATACATACAAAGATTGACATTCAACCCTCCCACAGATAAGTTACAAAGGATTTCCATACCTATTTAAAGAATTCTTCAATTCTTTGATCTTACTTTGAGTTAACTCCCCTTGTGAGAAATCAAAAACTTCCTCACTGAGCAGCTGCTTTCAAACAGTTCAAGTTAGACGCTTGTAGATATTCAACGTAAAGCGCATCAGAGTCAATAAAAATAATAAATCTAATCAAGAGAAGATGATCAAGATTTATACCAACGAAGCTTGAGTCTTACTTTCAATATAACCATGCAGTTCTCACACAATGTTTCACTGCTCTTGGCAGCTGAAACGAGATCTGGTATGAATCTCGGCCATCGTGCAGGCCACTCATGCTTTAAGACCTGCATCAAAGCAATTATTAACCTTGTGAGCACCACAACCTGGACGTGAGAGAATCCGAAGCCAAAATGTGCAATATTGTATGCATATTACAGCCCAACACGGTATAGAAAGAATAACGTACGTGCGTGTATATATAATTATACCTGAACAAGAATGATATTTAGTTTGTTCACATACAACCGTTCTGCCCGAAATGACGATTCATTGCTTGAGAGCTGCATTAAAATATAAATAAATAAATAAAATTAGTGTGAAGAATACACGAAACCACTGGAGTCACGTAGTGAAGCAGCACAAATTTAAGGTTTTGAACATGAAAGGAAGGAACGAAGATGTTTGTGCACAAACTACTTATTAAAACTCTTTCGCAAACAAAAACGCGATCGTATCAGTACTCAGAAATTGAGACATGAAAGATGAAAAAATACGGTTAAGTTAATGAACCTGCACAATAAGGTCTGATATATAGTTCTTGATGCCATCTCGTTGCTCTACGGGTAAAGCATTCCATCGATACTTAATTACTCCCTCCAGCACCTTCATCGCAGTAGGCACGAAGACATAGTCAGCATCACGAGTTATGCAGAAGGAATATGACGGACTCAGTGAATTGGCGTTCCAATTGACATGTAATTTTACGCGAGAAGCATCAAATCGCCAGTCACATGAGTACACGATGAACAATATCAAAGTACCAATCAACAGCACGCCGACATTCTTACCTGAAGTGCATAGAACTTGGTATTTGGAATTGTAGAATTCTGGAGAATCGTAACCACTCGAGTCCATGTATCTGGGTGCTCTTGCAATTGCCTCAACACCCTCTCAGCAGCAGCCCTCTGCATTAACAACGAGAAGCTCAGCAGAACGTAGTCCAGTTCCCGGCAAACTTTCTCAATATCTTTCTCTCACACACGCACGCGCGAGCGCGACTATTTTTCCCTCCACCATATTATAATTCGAAACCCATTCAATATTTACTCACATGTCCTCACCAGTAACAGAGAATTCTGCCTTACATCAAAACATGACCGGTTCCATCCGTCTCAATATTTCAATTCATTGAACTAAGATGTAAACGAGCCATGAAGATTATTTATTGCATTCAAACTCCTGAACTACGAATAAGACTATTCCTCCACAAACGGGACAAAATTTTATATCCCTACAGAAATGAATGCGATCTATTTAGTTGATGACCGTACTGTACCAATCAACATAATAAGATTCCCCAAAGTAACTCAAGCACATACAAACTGCAAATACGACAAGTATAGGAGAGACTGCTATTCTACAACAATCACTCCAATTCGTGGGATATGGGTTTCGTGTCCTTGATACACGCAAACAACAACTGTAATACAAGTCAATTCAGAGACAAGAAACCCCAAAATCTAACGATTAAATCAAGTTGGGATTAGAAATATTCCCTTCCACACTTTGATAGTAGCTCATGACACTTATTTGGACGTGGAGAATTTCCAAAACCACAAAAGAACTAGTTAAATCTCAGGAGCAACACACCAAAATGTAGTAGACTGTAAGAAGAGAAAAAGACAATTTGGTTTGCATGCTAGTGTGTTGCATGCAAAGCTGGATTTCAACATACTTCCTTGAACTAAATGTATGCTTCCAAAAAATCCTATCTGGAGTCCAGTGCAAGAAGAAAATGGACCTAACAAACATCATTCTCTCCGCAGGTATTCCTCGCATCTGCAGATTACGATGATAGCTATTGTGTAACATCCGCAAAAGTTCAGAACTGCACTATAAGGAATATGATATGCAAAATCGGAAGAAATCAACACTTTCCATAGACGCACTACGATGTCCCAAACGAAGAAAGATCACCAATAGCTCGCCACTAATTCATCCAATATGCTCCAATGGGATCTCAGTCTCCCTTGAAGCCAATTTCTTGTTACGCAACGGCAATAATTCCTAACTAAAGCGGTTCATTTATTGAGAATTAATCATGAAGCCATCGAATCAAGTGAGTCGACGCTCATCGTTTGCCGGTATTATTCCAACAGGCGATGCTGACGAAACACAGTATTGTAGCAACTAACGTGATCTGTACATTACGCAGCGCTGGACATAGCTTCATCAGCGCTAGGGAACAGGTAAGTCAGACTCGGAAATGTGATCAGGTTTGCGAATTTCGACTAATTCAAAGTCTAAGACGTATTAGCAGTAATTTAGAACCTTCAAACGAAGAAGTAAACAGCTCAAGGAATCCACGCTCTTAAGGCACATACTCCAGATAAATATTGTACATCAGCACGATCAGGATCCCGAAACAGAAACATGATCAAAAGAACAGATCGAAACATGGTGGTAATCACAAATACTGCTCATCATGAATAAAATAAATATTCAAACCCGCATCATTTCCCAGTTCCGTTTGAAAGCGCACAGCCATGAGAATCGTGTGAACATTCGGAGCTCTGTGACCGATACGAAATGTACCTCCTCTTTGGAGCCCGTGCCATAAAATGCTGCTACAGTAGCATCAAGAAGACCGACATCAAGAGGCTGAGTGAAATCCAAGAGCTTCTCTGCCATGGCGGTCGCCGCTTCTTCTCACCCTCACGCAATAAGAAATCCAGAAACCAATCAGTCCCGCCTCGGGCACCTGCTCCTCGAACTAACTTTTTCCGTAGCTCCCAAACAAAAATGAATAAAGCCACCTGCACTCCCGTAAACCCTACTGCGAACACCACACACTTCAAGAACTTCCGCGTCACACCATGACGCTCCAAAGAAACCCCCGACCTCCAAATCTCAACCACACGACCTAATCCCCGTCACAGACAACCGCCGGTGCAACAGGCAAAGAAAATTGCACGCTCTTGAATCCCACGCCGCGTTCAAACGGTCAAATGGCGATAAAAATCCGGAGGGTATATTGATCCGGGGATTGATCGTAGCGACAAGATGGTGAGCTTGATGAGTTTGCACAGGACCGGCGAACCTTAAACCCTAGAACGTCGCTGATGCAGCTAGAAACAAACCGCTTGTCGATTGAATGGTGATAGGATGCATTCGGGGGCACAAAAACTAGCCCGGCCTTCCCCCACCCCACCCCCTCCTGGCGCACCGCTCAAAGCTTCTAGAAGGACGAGGTTCTTCTTCTTCTGCTCAAGCTGACTTGTAAAGAACTGACTCGACTTCTTCAGTTTATCGACCAGGCAGACTCTCGCCTCCGTCGTCAACAGGAGGTGTTGTCCATGACTACCCCCTCTCCCTCCCCCCCTCCTCATTGCATGCTTCGAAATAGTCGACGTAAACGCTTCGAATGCATGGACGATTAGTGGCGACGAAGGCACGGTCATGGGCATGCGACGAAAAGTGGACATTGGACCCAACGAATCAGTCCGAGAATGGGTCGTCGGTACTTTGGAGTTTCTTCACAGCCCCGCTGCTGCTAGTTCAACAATCTGGTTCACTTTTCCTTTCGTGACACATTGACTTCTCTGCTTGGGTAATGGCAATTTGATCCCCTTTGCCAATTGACCTATTCCCCTTGTAGGACGAGGAACTTGAAACGAAAGCGAGGAGACACAGAGACTCGACCCCCCCCCCCCCTACGACAATGAAAATTTTTTTCAGCACATGATTCCACATTCTAAAACACAAGTCGAACTTCGTGACTGCTTCTACGTTTGCTTCCCATCTCTGTTTCTTCTTCTTCTAGTGGGGGCAGAGACAGAAATTCATACCAAACAACGCTCTCCACATTTCCCTTGAAATCAATTCATATCATTACAATCTTGCCCTGCAATCAGTGAGGTATGGGTACTCTTGATATGAAAATCAAAAATTTGAAAAGCACCACTGCTCAGCACATTGTTATGTTATTTTTGAATGAATAACGAGGTATCGTGTTCTATGCACATTAATTTGTGCTAATCTTTTCTTCTCTTCTCATTAAAAACTACAATCTTTGCATGTGACCATTGCAAATGTTGCTTTTACGTAATATGTCCTCATGGAGAGAAAGAAAAAGAAAGTAATAATAACAATAACAACAACAACAACAACAACAACATCATAGCTCATAGTCCTTGAAATATGTATAATTGCATGTTTAAACATGTTATTTTTAGTATGTATTCAGCACACATAATTGTGTCTTGTCAAAGTATATTGATGTAAATGAAGAAAGAATAAGTTATCATGAGTTTTATATTGAGTGTATAACATGTAACAGTACAACTTATAATTAAACTACAATATGTACACAATTCATAATAGGAGGTTTCAAACATGGCACTTTTCCGAAATCAAATAACTAGGATTCAGCACCTGATATATTTTCAGGAACACTTGAAATATCAAATCCAAAGCATCACCATTCAAATTTTATTACTCCATGCCAAAGCATGGTATTAGGGAGTGTGGTATGGAGTCAAAGAAGAAAGAGAGCTGAGGCAAACAACTCGGTTCTTAATATTTGATCCACCCCTCTTTTGATATTTTAATTTCAAAATCATCCACCTTGCTACATGGGTGATTTGGTGAATTATCAAAGTGATATTCTGAAAGATCATGAGATACTTTGAACTTGCATCACAACTGAAATAATTTTACATGGTTTCATTTTGATCAATAGTGGAACATGTGTAAATTGACTGAGAAATAATAGTTTTATTTGAAATCATGCACAATTTGAGTGCAAAATGTACATATTTACATGTGACATTAAAATTGCACATATTAATTGTAAAATCATATAATCACTATTAAATAATCATTTTTTACAATTTTATGTTTAAATTTATAAAATATAATTTTATATATACTTCCAAAAATAACTATTTTATATTTTTGGTTGTAGCAAAATAAATGTCAAAAATAAAAGTTTACATATAAATTATAAAAAAATATAAATGCATTCAGTAAAAGATAATTATATTAGAGTATTATATAATAAACCAAATATTTATTTCCAATCCTTGTCAAGACTTAGAAAAATGTAAGAAACTTGTTTATGTTTACATTGCTTGCAAGAATACATTTTATTTTTTCTTTTTCTTTTTCTCTTTTTTCTTTTCTTTTTGAAATAAAGAGATTTTTTAGAATATGTGATTTATCAAATTATATTAGGATTTTCTTAGAGAGGCTTTTTAAAAAAGTTTGTGTAATCAGTCCATCAAAGAAACCTTAGAAGAGGATTTTTTTAAGACTTTGTTTTCAAATTTTCTATTTGATCATTTCAAAAGGTTATTATAGTGTTTTGCAAGAATCCAAAATTTAAAATGATTGTAATGTTTTAGGTAATATACATATTATTAGAAAGAAATTATATTGATTTTGTTGGATTGAGACTCAAGCTAATACTAAATAGATTTGGGTCTAATTGCAAAGTAGTTTAAATCTTAAATTACTACAATACATCACTTATTATATGGTCTTTAAAAATATATTTGGATAAATATATATATATATATATATATGTATTACAACTTTGCAATTATTCAATTTTTTCTTGATTTACAACTAGTCTATATTACATGTCAATTATTGCATAAATAGAGAGTGTAATATATCATACTGAAAAAAAATAAAAAAAATAATACACATATCAATTGATGAATACATATAATTGGCATCCAAATTAAATATTAATATACATGTGTAAAAAATAAAATTCATTTTAAGCCATATTTTTATGTGGGAGCTTGGTTTTAATTCATTTGGTAGCATGATTTGTAGTCACTATTGCACACATACAATTGCTATAATAATAAAATTTAGATGGATTTTAGAAACTAAATTTTTGATTTACATAAGATTATTTTCCATTCTATAATTAGATGTTTAAAAACAACCAACTTGGATTATTTGAAATTGTGCTTTGATAATTGTAGCAATTTAAGTGAAACTAGCAAATATCCTTGTGTTGATTATACCAAAGGTAATTTGGATGAATGACTCTTGAGAAGATTATATTTTTTAAAAAATAACAACATACATGATGGTTATGTGATTTATAGAGAAAGATGCAAATATTGGCTCTGGCAATATTGTTTTTTGATGCTCGGGTTGTTTTAAATTAATAGAATATATTATCTTTGATTTCAAAGAAAATAATGTTATGTGTGATTTATTTAGTTTTTTATTATTAAACACATGCAATAAAGAGATAATTGTTAAAAAATAGTTATTAGTAGTTGGGTCCAGTTGGATTAGAATGAAATGAAACATGCATTATGTGTTGAACTATTAATGGAATTTAAAGTTAAAAATACAATACATATGTGCTAATGTCTTGTATTAAGATATACAGATATTATAAAGTCACTTTCAATTTTTTTCCAGCAATTATTAATAGAGAAATAAAGTACTCTTTAATACACATAGCACAACTATCTACCTAAATGTCTAATATCATTTTTTAGTATTTAATTCTTACATTAGTGAATTTATTTAATATTTATTAGTAACTTGTAAATCCATTCAAATTTTTTTTATTTAATAAATAGTTTTTTATGTAAATATTTGTAATTTAATTTAAAATAAAATATTTAAAAACAAGTTCAATGAGGACTAATTATGTAAGCTGATTTATTAGCTTGATCTATTTTTGATTTTATTGTTACGGGTGGTCAAAATATCTTTTTAATACATGTACATATCTAGTTGTTATGCTAAAATAATCATTTAGTTTAGCTTAATTAGGTGTTTAACAAATAATCCAACAAGTTTGTATAGTAATAAAAAATAATCATCTTTAAATTTGCAAAATATACATAAATAAGAAATTGCATCTCCTGATCATCCACATTCATACAGTGGGACAACCCGCAACCCACTCAAGTGGATTCCACATACGGGTTCACCCAAATGTGAAACGGGGAAGCCGGGTCTCTGATTTCCCGCCCTTTTGAACCCTCAACTTTCGGCATCTCCCGCGAGCTATTTTTTCTGAAGTCTACCGTTTGTTTTCAAATCTACCATCGCTCTTTCGTTTTTGATGTCCAGAAATGTCACCGTATCCGTCAGGGTTCGATTGTGCGGGTGATCGATGTCCTTTGCCTTGAGGCGAGATTAGATGTATTCGAATTTGGGATCATTAGGTGATGTGTCGGCGGTGAATGGCAGCAGTGATCGTTGCTCATCGAGCACCACAGTCGAGAACTTAGCATTTGGGGTTTCGTTTGACGGCCGCGGACAGTTTCCGGCCGGAAATTGACACCGTGGTGTCGGAATGGATGCGTTGCTCTTGACTGTATCTAGTTTCTGCTTCAGAGTTTCACTGTGAACGTGTGGCATTCGTTCATCACAATTCAACAATTGGCTCGCATTTTCCTGAATTAGGTGTCTTCTCTGACTCGTATCGAAGGATGAGCGGCATTGATGTGCATTTCTAAGAAAATATAGGCTTAAGATTCTCTGACTATCACTTTGAGGACTGCTCATGTCAGGGGTGTTCCCTGAGTGGAAGTTGTGGAAGGGCATGAGTTTTCATTTCTTACAGATCACAAGTGTTGGTGGATGCCTACCTTCACAAGCGAGTAGTCATATATGTATTTTTTGCTACATGATATGAGCATTGCACGATAGCTCCTGCTCACGTAGTGTGAATGAATTAGGGGTCCATTTGGGTGAATTGTTACGTGGAAGCTCAAACGGCTTTCATCAGCACTGCTCATTATCAGAGTCTTCCGCAATGGCTAGCAATGGAGGAGGTAGAAGAACCAGAGGGGTGGTTCCTGAAGCCTCCGCTCGGGCTGCGGCGCTTTCTGAGCTCAAGAAGCTTAAGGATGAAGGTGGACGTCGGGTAAACAATTACCAGGTTAGAGAGGAAGATAAAATATACGACTCTCTGTCGGAGGCGGATTACAACCTTCTCGTCCTTAAGAGAAGAGAGGAAGTTAAGAATTTTGTGGTCGCTGATGATGGATTAGGTTACGCGGATATTGGAGAGGAGGAGGACTGGAATGTGGATCAGTATTGCGGCGACAGCGAGGACGACGATGCAGACACAAACAAGAAGAAAAAGAAAAATGCAGATGGTAGGACGTTGAAAAGTTTGGGACGTCAATAGGAAGCCGTCTGCAGTTTTGTCACGAACCTTATTTTACAGTGATTTCATTTCTGGATTTTTTGCAATCACTAGATTCAGTTACAGGTGAAGACCATGTTGCATTTTAGGTTACCATTTCTTGCCAGTAATAATAATTTCGGTGAATTGATCGGATGAGTTTATTTCGAGTTGAACAGAGGTCAAGAAAGATGCGCCAAACAGGAAAGCAGCTGCTTTGTCAGCGGCTGCATCTCTGATAGGAAAGCAGCGCCTTGCAAGCATGTTCACTTCTGCTTCAGGAATCCCTTCTCTTGGACGACGTCTAAGGGACGATAAAGGAGTCAACACGGAGTCCATTTTGGATGATGTGCTTGCAGATGTTTCTGCTGACGATGTCGATCGCGAAAGAGAGAAGCGTCGACGACGTGCAAGTAAGCATCCTGTTGGCCACACAGTCTATCTGTTTCGTTCTCTGCTGTATCAGGTACTTGTCCAGAAAATGATTTCAGTTTTTTGCCTTTTAGTTTACTGGTTCAAGGCACGCTGTGACCGTGTGGTCAAATGATAAGTTTTATTTAAGACCTGTCAAGTTGTGCGTTTGATATAGAGTCTGTCTTTGGAACTTTTTGGGTTTTGTGTTCTACATCTCAAACGGAATGCTCGGTAAATTTTCAGATTTCCGCCCATCAACATCTGTGCAGGATGTGGTGTTTCAACCTATACCGGAGAGGATGGTTGTTAATATTGCCGAGAAATCCACACCCGTAAGTTCTTATGACACCTATTTTGAGAATCCTGTCCATCCTTTGGCACTTGTATTACCGAAAGATACTCTCTGATTGTATATCCCTATTTGCGTGCAGGGAAGCCAGATTACTAGTTCTTCTCGCCCGAATACAGATATTCCGCTGAGCAACTATCTGGAAGAAACGAACGCATCTGAAGGTCCCTCTGTTTCAACTATTGGCCAAGAGTGTGTTACGGATATCTGCGACAATCTCGTTCAAATAGATAAAAACGAGGCCATCAACGAAGAGGTTAAGAAAGTTGTTTCAGATAATATAGTCCTTGATATGAAACCAGAGAAGAAAGCAGAAACTGTGGTTCTCAATGCCAAAATATCCAAAGTGGAAGATACAGGGAAAGGAGCAATGGCAGCGTGGCATGCAATCAGCAAGGGCACTGCAGGAAATAAATCTGTTGTAGATATTAAAAAAGAGGAGGAGTTGACCGATCAGGTTATATGCGATGGCAATAGTCTACCGTTGGATGCAGAAAGTCGGCTTCCCTTCTTTTTGCTAGACGCCCATGAAGAACCATATGGAGCTAATCCTGGCATTATCTACATGTTCGGAAAGGTATGTATCCATGCTGAAACTCTGCAACTTTAGCACTCATCATCTTTGCGGATAGTGTTTATCTCATGTGATAGGTTTTCTTCAGCTTCAGTAACAAATAGAAAATAAAGTTTGATTCTTGAAGGGCATATCAGAAGAACTACATGCTGGGCATGCTTGAAAACCGTTCTTCAATACCGCAGTTGGTTAATAATGTTTTTATTGTTGTTAATTTGTTGTATTGTAGGTGCCAGTTGGTGGAAAGTACGAAAGTTGCTGTGTAGTAGTGCGGAACATGCAACGCTGTGTGTATGTTGTGCCTACCCCGAGTATTTTCCCCTCGAATTCCATTGCAGAACTCGGACAATTAGCATCCTCTGACCAGCCTGCAGAAAAGATAGCTTTCAAAGCGAAGCTTCAGGTATAATTTATCCTACGCCAAATTACTTCAGAAGGTGAATTAGATTCTTAAGTCTTCTAAATACTTTCTCTTTGGGCACCAACACCTCTCCATGGTAATGCTCTTAATTGATTTGAAGTCCACTGTTTCGCTGTGTTGTATTAGTTTCATCTGGATGTTTCTTTATACGAAAACTTGTGTTGTATCGTATTGTATTGTATTGTAGGCAGTGCTCTTGTCTGGCATGTGTGGTGTGGTTTACTCTACTCTTTCTATCATAATGACATGACACTTGTCAAGCTTGAAATCAGTTAGGGTTTATCGTCCTTCCTAGCTAAGATTTAATGTTGCCAGAGTTTATTTTTGTTCCATAGGTTGTATTGCTTTGTGAGTGAATGGTTTATTCCAGCTTCTCTTACTGGCTTACGGTATGAGTCTTATTCCTATTCGACTTTCTATGCTGAACACTTGGAAGTCTTTTGCTGTGTCAAAAATTGATTTTATGCATCACTCCTATTGCGCACTTACACTTTGTCGGATTTGTAATTTTGCAGGAATTGTCAACAGATCTAAAGCAGGAAATGGCCGAAAAGCTTATGGACTTGGATGTTGCTCAGTTCAGCATGTATCCTGTAAAGGTATACTTTCTTGGTCAAGGAAGTGTACAGACACTTTGTGGTTCTATTCATCTTAGCTCTGCTGTAGTAATTATCGCTTTGACTATATTTCCGAGTACCTATGTCTTACCCAGCCTGTCGGAACTCTTGATCACGGACTCACCTTTTTGGAAACGTTTTCTAAGTATGCTGATCCAAGCAATAGTCATCACCTAAATGTGTTCAACACAATGATTGTCACAAATTTTTCTCTTTTAACACTTATTTGCGGCTGATGTTGGCAGCGCTCTTACGCATTTGAATGTCCAGAAGTACCAACTGGAGAGAATTATTTCATGAAGCTCATGTATCCTTTTAAGGTGTGATTGGCTCCTTTTGTTTTGATTTATACAAGCTTTTTCAAAATCTGATTAGCTTGCTCGTATGAAAGTTTCTTCCTCGATTTGCCTTCGAGGAGTTAGCTCTTGCATATTGTTAAGCTTCACTGTTAAATCTACTAGACTGTACATGATCACCGTCTTGAAAGACATGGTGGTAGACACTAAGCTACGATGTATTTGATATTGATGCAGTGATAGTGTTTTCTGCTCTCGATGTATTGCAGAATCCTCCCCTTCCAAGTGATTTAAAAGGACGGAATTTCGTGAAGGTCCTTGGGACACATACAAGGTACCAGGAGAACCTTGTCCTCATCCCACAAATGAACTTATTAGCTACTGCGGACTTGATTATCCATTCATTCAGTTTATTGGCTTGAGCAGTTGATGTTAACAGCTGTTTTCTGGATGCGGATGCACTTTCATTAACATACGTCATCTATTTCTGCGTTATTGTGTAGGTTTTAATTGGTTACCAATTCTCATGATTTGATGCCATGAATAGCGCACGATTTTAGTGACAATATATCCATACAGCACAATGTGAGCAGCTGTTTAGACACGTGTGTTTTTTTTCTATATGTTTAAGAAGGGCAATCCAATTGAGGTGTCTCGGGACTGTGGGCTGGGTTTCAGTGCATTGGAACTACTGCTAATAAAGAAGAGAATCAAGGGGCCCTGCTGGCTTTCAATTGCTGCGCCTCAGCGTGTTGCAAGCTCATCGCAGGTATATCTAGCCGCGTTAGCTATTGTTGCGGATCATCTTGGAATAATATCAAAATGACTAATAAGAGTGCAGTACGAGTTTTGCTTTATATTCCTAGTTTGGCCGATTCAAGTTTCCCAAGGATTTTTACGAATCTTTATTTTTTGTTTGTAAGCCAGTCTTGTACTAAGCGAATGATTTATTTGGCTTGTTGATTGATTCAGATTAGCTGGTGCAAAATCGAAGTAAATGTGGAAGATCCCAAGGACCTGATGGTGGCCCTTCCAGGAAAGGGACCGTCAGGAATCCCACCACTGACTGTGGCCTCTCTCAACCTCAAAACTGTTATTAATTACAAACTCAATGTCAATGAGATAGCCTCTGTTTCAGTGGTCTACTGCAAGCGAGTCAAGGTTTGCACTGTACTGCAGCTTATAGTTTGGGCCGGGACTATGGTGATTGTGCTTGCTTCTGTGTTTTCTTGTTGAATGTTTGTAGCGTCTGGAACAGCGTCATGCAATTTAATGATCTAGTGAATTTTCGTTTTGAAAAGTTGGAAATGAATGTTTGGAGAAGGAAATGACGTCCTCACATGTTATAACTTAGGTGGATGCTCCCATGCCTCTTGCTGAGTGGAACAACCGGGATATGCTGAGCCATTTCAGTATTGTGCGAAAGTTGGACGGTGGGATATTTCCTATGGGTTTCGCATCCGAGGTTGCGAAAGTAAACAGCAATTCTGTGAACACTCTCAATGCAGAGAGCAGGTTGACATATCCCTCCCTTTTTGACTGTCTGATTGTCTTCTTCTCCCCGCCCCCTTTGTTTGTTTTGTTTTGTTTTTTTGAATTTGCCTTTTCGGGTTTTGGGTTCCTAATAATTCAGCACATAGATTCAAACTTCGTTACCAGAAAGAAGGTGGGGAAAAACAACTATATAACTATTTTTCAGTGTCTTATGTCCACGGTCGATTCAAGAAGAAGTTGCACAGCTCTTAGGAAACCGTCATCACAGAAGTTGAAATGATTTCCTCACAGATCTGCAAGGAATCTGACATTACAAATGGGTTCACGGGTCATTTGCAGTGAAAGAGCTCTGTTAAACCTGCTGATGATCAAATTGCATCAGCTTGACGCGGATGTGCTTGTCGGACATAATATATCTGGGTTTGACCTTGATATTCTACTTCATCGGCTGCAGGTATGGTCTCTTCTAGTCACATCTACTAAGTAGGTTATTATTTATCAGATGTTATGAGAATTGAGGACAAAACTTGAAGAACCTTCCAACCATAGTTTGCGTGTTCAATCTAACAGGCCTGCAAAGTGGCAAGCAACGTATGGTCAAAAATAGGTAGACTGAAACGATCCCAAATGCCTAGGCTGAATGGAGGGGGGTCAACATTTGGCTCTGGTGCAAGTCCTGGTGCCCTGACGTGTATTGCAGGCCGTCTCCTATGTGACACATACTTGTCCTCTCGAGAGCTCCTAAGAGAGGTAAACTGGTCTTCTCGACACCCTTGACGTAGTTTTGTTTGCATTTTAATTAGACTTTTATGACTTTGGGCTTCCTCCTCATTGGACGTGCTTACACCGTATCGAACAGTCAAATTTTTGATGACGAAGATGCTGTGATACGTGAGCAGAGTTTTAGAAGAGACTTGATCCATGATGTCAAACCTTATAAATATAAAGCATTTTTTGATTCTACTGTCAACTTCAAACTCGAGCATTGTATTCCTATATATTCTCCTCATTTGTCGGAGTTTTTCTCATGGTTTACAGGTCAGCTATTCTTTGACTCAGCTGGCAAAGAGTCAGCTGGGTCGAGAGAGGAAGGAGTTGGTCCCTTCAGAAATTCCTGGAATGTATGGGAATTCTTCGTCTTTGTTGGAACTGGTGAGATATGTTCTTTAAACGTAGTAGACGACCTAAAAATATGGAAGTCCGGCATAGTCTTGGATTAAAGTCTCTGGTCGCACGGATGTGACTGCAAACAGTGCAAGTATCATCTGAAATTAAAAGTTTTGTATGTGAGTGAATTTTAACGGAAGTGGCTTGAGTGCATATAAGTGCGGGATATCTTTATTAACTTATTCATCTACATTGAAGTATGATTTAAACTTTTCTCTAATTGTTTTGCTAGTTTGTGCTTTTTTACCTTTGAACCACAAGCTTGGATGCCTCGGTATTAGTAGCTCTGACGGTTAGAATCATCGTTCCAAACGAGTCTAACTCTGGGTAGAGAGTTCTGGTTTTGTGTATTATGATTCTCGTGAGAGTAGTTTGTTCTATATTTGTTCTGTTGATCCTGAGGTTAGTTGATAATTTCCTGGGTGATTGCTCGCAGATTGAATCTGGAGAGACAGATGCATGGCTGTCCTTGGGACTCATGTTTCACCTTAGTGTATTGCCACTGACTCGGCAACTCACCAACATCAGTGGTAATCTGTGGAGCAGGACGCTACAGGTATGGTGCTTTGCAAAATTTGAATCCGATTTTTCAAAGTAAAATCCTTAGGATTTCATCTGCACTTGAGGATGAATCCATGTCTTCTTGATAATAGAACATGGGGATATTTTTGTAGGGAGCTAGGGCACAGAGAGTGGAATATCTTCTACTACACGAGTTCCATATTCGAAAGTTCATACTTCCTGATAAGCTATCCCAAAAGGAGAAGGAGAAGGAGGTTGGTAAGAGGAAAGCATCAGCACAATCCGATAGAGATGTACCACCAGATGGTGAAGATGGTGACAATCGTGACGCTGGCCTTGATAATGCAACCGCCAAGAAGGGGAAGAAAGGACCTGCTTATCTTGGTGGATTAGTCCTGGAGCCCAAAAAGGGTCTGTATGATAAATATATCTTGCTGCTAGACTTCAACAGTTTGTATCCCTCCATCATTCAGGTTCACCCAACAAGTTCTGAGCCTAATAGATTTTTTCTATTTTTAGCTTCTAAAATCTCTGAGTCGTCTTTTGCTCGATATCGAGATTCTCCCATTTCAGAATATGCTCATCATTTATTTCTTAAATATTCAACAGCATTAGTGAATAAGTTCTGATGGTTCACTCTTCAGGAATACAACGTCTGTTTCACTACTGTGGAAAGAACTGTCACTGGTTCAATACCCTCAATACCTTTGAGTGATGTACCAGGTGTACTACCTCAGGTACATTATCCTCTTTCCTTGCAGCTTCTTAATTTCGATTGTGTAGAGTTTGATTGTTAGGACCTGGGCTGCAAATCTCATCGTCGCTTGTATCATTAGCAAATGCAGTGCTAGATGTAGGAATGTCTGATCATTGTATTTCAAATTGTAATATGCTGTGTGTTTGTGACTCTACTAATGTTGCTGCTGAAATGAGCATTGCACACGAACAGGTGTTGAAGGGTCTTGTAGAGCGAAGGAAGCAAGTGAAGGGGTGGCTTAAGAAGACAACTGATATTTTGAAGTATCAGCAATTCGATATCCAGCAGCAAGCTCTTAAACTCACTGCCAACAGGTATCTCTATTACTGAAAATCCCGTTGCTCGTACTTTAGTTCTTGTTAGTAACTAGGAATATTATGTAATCTTCCAATTTCTTTTAGTGGTGAATGTAAAATGTGATCTGTTTTACTTCCCCAGTTGAAAATGTTTTGCTGGTTTTAACTGGGTTTGAAGATGGTTTGTCTCGTTCCTTTCTCACTGTATGCGGCTATGGCAGAAATAGTTGAGGATTATTTACTGCACCGCATGTTTGGATACTGCTAGTCGATAGGGTGGCTATTAGTACTTGATTTTCAATGTTATTATTGATGATATTCGATTTTCGTTAGCATGACATTTGTGTGATTGTGCAGTATGTATGGATGCCTGGGCTTTACTAATTCAAGGTTTTACGCCAAGCCTATTGCCGAACTTATTACTGCCCAGGTATGCCTACTAAATTGTATATGAATAATATTCGACAAATTGAACTGAGCTTCTGTACTACTATGCAATGTATTCATGATTTGGAGAATAAGAAAGTCCTGTGCTGTTGTAATGTCTGAATTCAGGGACGTGAGATATTACAAAGCACTGTGGATCTAGTGCAAACTTCTTTAAATCTAGAGGTTTGTTCTGCCTTCCTTTGATTTTTAAAATTTACCTCCACCCACGTTTTGCCTTCCTAAAGATGTATCCTCTGACGAGGATGATAGTTCTAACTGCTTCTGACTTAAATGCTGAGACGCTGTCTGTAATGATCAATCATGAAAATTGTGCTCACTAGGATAGTGGAGTTTAAAACTAATGAGTGTAACTAGAAGGTAACTTGGTCATACTGTTCTCAACTCAGAGACATCAGGGGTGATCTTTGATAGGTAATATATGGAGATACAGATTCTATCATGATTCACTCAGGGTTGGAGGATCTTGCAGCAGCAAAATCGATTGCCATGAAGGTCATCAGAGAGGTATACACCTTGGTTCTCGTCAACGGTTTTTGGGTGGTGTTATGTCCAGACATAGCTTTGGTAGTGCTGCTCACTCAACATATTATCTCATGAAACTTGTGTACTCAGGTGAATAAAAAATATAGGCTCTTGGAAATTGACCTGGATGGAGTTTACAAGCGGATGCTTTTGCTCAAAAAGAAAAAATACGCTGCTGTCAAGGTGCAATCTAATAGCGATGGTAGTGTTACAGAGGTGCGTATGATCAGGATCATCTTGGTTTCTTTCTTGGAGAGCTCATTTGACATCCTTGCACCAATTAACCACTAGGCTTCATTTTTGTAGAATGGTGATTCCTGTAATGAAATCTAATAGTGGCAAGTTTTTCTTCACATCAGGTTATAGAACAAAAGGGACTTGATATTGTGCGACGAGACTGGAGTTCACTTTCTAAAGAGATCGGAAATTACTGCTTGGAACAAATCTTATCTGGCGGGTATATTTCCTAACCTAAGCATTTGTCTTCTGCTATTCTTATAACGTGCCATGCGTTTCGAAAACCAACTTTTACTCCTCGTAGGTTATCTTGTGTCGAACTTCAATTGACTAGTGGACTAATTCAGGTCTCGCGAAGAAGTAGTGGATGCCATCCACTCTCAACTACGGAAGGTGAGTACTTCATATCTCATGTGTATTAGAACGTTCATGAATTCCGCAGCGAAGTTTGAAGAGTGTAGGATCATGATAAGCATTATTGGCCATACAACAGTGTCTGTTTTAAAACAAGGACAACTAATCAGTAGAAGGACCTTGAGGATTATGCAGTGACTTTTGAACTGAAAAGGAACAATGGATGTGGTCTGCAGCTACAAGAAGACATGAGGAATGGGCAGATTGAACTGGATAAATATGTTATTACTAAGTCTCTTACTAAACAACCCGAGGACTATCCAGATGGAAAAAACCAACCCCACGTTCAGGTTCAGTGTTGTGCTTGCTCATTTGTATGGATTGAAGTATATTTTGTGAAATTTCAACAAGTTTCTTTTTAAATGCGTTAATAATATTTATTCGTCAGGTTAGTGGTCTCGAATTCAACTAGGTTTTACATTGAATCTTTTGTTTGTGTAATTAACCCTCAACAAATTCCGCACTTCCAGGTGGCACTGAGGCGGAAGCAGAGTGGGCATCGCATTTCCCCCAATGACACTGTGCCGTATATCATCTGTATTAAGAAGGTTACACATCTCATGCCCTCAGCCCAATTATAAGGGTGAACTACATCTTACTCTTGATTAGTTGTATGGTATAATTCGCAATCTGTGTGCTTTATTCCTTTACAATCGTTCTTGAGCGCTAGCGCTTGGTACAGATCAAAGTGTTAACTTATCCTGCCCAAATTCCGCCAGGAATCCACGTTTGATTCACGTCTCATTACATTGGCTGCGCACCCTGTCTACAGGGCTCAGAGAGACCTCAATCTGGAGGAATTGCAGATAGAGCAAGGCATCCAGATGAAATCAAGGAAGAAAATTCTGATTGGTTGGTTGATGTTGAGTACTACATCTCTCAGCAGGTAGAGCACCCAAAGCATATATCTACTAATTCTTTACTGGATTAACGTATGCTCAGCGCATACTAGGCGCGTTTTCAGAGGGATGTTTTACAACTCATGATAATCTCGTGTGTTGCAGATTCATCCTGTTGTATCAAGACTTTGTGCACCTATTGAAGGAACTAATGCTGGGCATATTGCTGACTGCTTGGGATTGGACTCCGCCAAGGTACGTCTAGTCTTATCCAGTATAAACCTTTTTTAGAAGCTAAATACTGACCAATTGCTACTATTTTCGTCGCGAGTCATTTTGAACTCCCAAAATAATGTGGTGTTTGAGAGCTGTTCCAAGGAAGTACGTTTTGATTCTTGCTGTGTCTTTCAACTCTTAATTCCCACCCTTGTACTTCAGTTTCTTCAACGACAAGCGGCAACTACTATTGACATGGATTCAGCTCGTCTTACTTCAGCTTCCATGCTTGAAGATGATGACAGGTGGAGTTCCTAGCGAAGTCACTTTTGCTGAAGTTCAAACTTTTGCTTTAATGTTTGATGGACAACAAAGATATTGCTGACCTAGATTGTGACGTCAGAGTTGTTCATTTATCCTATTTTCTGCTGGATGTCAGGTACAAGCTTTGTGAGCCGTTGGAGTTGGTCTGTGCACAATGCTACAAGAAGTATGTGTTTCCAGGTGTGACTGAAATTCTCTCATTAATTGCCACTCCGAAGGGCACCTCGAGCCCAGCTGCAGCATGTCCCGACCCCTTGATGTGTGACCAATGCAATCAATCTGGTGGATTAAATCGGGTCTCTCCGGCCATGTTGGCTAACCAGGTCGTTGTTTTAGCCAACCTTAATTAGCTTTCATGCCAGTAGTCTGATTGTAGATTCTTTTATTGCCTATTACGTCTTTCTGTACTCAGTCTTGCATTATCAGCAAAGGAGATACAGCTGATTCAGAAAGAATTTGCTACAGCTTTTCACGAACCATGAATTCGATGGATGTCATTTCAAGAACCAACCAATTTGGTTGATACTTATTCCTCCTAATTCTGACGTGCTACAATATTGATTGATGCAGGTCAAACTGCGAGCTGATGAATTTATTAAGCGCTACTACGAGTGCTGGATGATGGTGAGTTGTTAGTGTAAAGGGTCTTGATGACCTCCTTTGATGTCCACCACGTCCAACTAGCTATTTAATCATGTTTTCTGTATAGGAAGTGTTGGGTTGCAAGTTAGTCAAAGTTCCGCGTGCTACTCGATCTGTCTTTTCCTATCTTGCTCTAACTTACTTTTTCTAAAACATGTGCTTTCATGATTTGTGATGAAATTAAAGCGGCTTTAGCGACACTTAAGAATTAGTTCGACCTTCTAATACATATTTGTGATAATTAGGTTGGGTTTTTTTTTATTTGTCATTCAAATTCTACATCTCAGCATTCTTCCAGTCAGAAAGATGTGATTTTCTACGGCTTGGAAATGCTTTAGACTGCGTTGTTTTTCTTGTAACTTGACCTTTATTTTACCGTGGCTTTGCAGTGTGATGATGAGATGTGTGGCCACATCACTCGGAATATCACATTACAACGTGTGGGAGATGCTGAAAAGGGGACTGTCTGTCCTCTCTATCCTCGCTGTAATGGTCGACTTCGTCGCCAGGTCAGTATCTCCGAGTTAACACTACACTACCTCTCGTTGTTGAACCTTACATTACAGTATGTGTCCTGTTATGTTCTTCGAATTTTTAACATATTTATTTTTGTATGTCATGAATTTGTGTATGCAGTATACGGAGGCACATTTATACAATCAGCTGACCCAGTTTTACCGCTTATTGGATGTTTCTCGTGTTCTTGAGAAGGTAATTTGTTTCGTCTCAACTGAGTTTCAATCTGAGTCTGTTTACGAGAACAATGGAGGAATATTTCGCTTCCTAATTTTGGGAACTTACCTGTTTTGTGACGTGATGTTCCTCAATGTTGAATCCCTGACTACTGACGTGAAATCTTGTGGGTTGCGATTCAGATCGTGGACTCCGGGGAGAGAATGGCCGCTGAGCAGAAGTTGGCTCCTGTGCGTACCGCTACAGATCTGGCTGTGTTGACCATCAACAACGTTCGCAACAAGTGTGCCTATAGATTCATTAAATTGCGTGACCTTTGTGTCACTGTGTCTGACCCATGGGCTACTGTTTAGCCTGTCCAGTTGAACTGCTCTTGTAGAAGCAAAGAGAATATTAGATGCAATTTGCTTGCCTTAATTCATATATCTTCCAGGTACTTAGGTCGTCGATTAGTTTTGGCTATGATACAACGCATGCACCGGTCTTCAGGAGGAAATTATCCAGTGATTAGATACATATTTTAGCCGTGACGACCGTAATCTACCTCAGCGGTTCTCATGATTTTACTACCTTTGATGACCGTGAATAGGCTGAAGATTACCATTCACGATAATTGTCAGTACTTTGTGACCTCGCCTGCCTTACCGGAGACGACCGCCTTTTAGATTCCCTCACACTGGTTGCCTTTCGTGAAAGGCTGTAAATTTCTTAGTGCAATCCTCTGCAGGTGCCGTGCCGGTCATGGGTTGATTTCCAAAAGGATGTAAATTAGCATCAGGCTGTGCATCATGAACTGTAGCAGTTGTGCAGTTATTTTCTCACTATGTACGTCCGGTTAGTAACATGTGTCAATTGAGACACATTCTAAACAGAAAGTGTTGCTCCGGATTTTCCTGTTGGTCCCTATTTTAATTCGAGTCGTATTATGTTTGGATTATCTTCTTTTATCTATATGTAGTGGACGTTTGTTCTATCTAGCACACTGATGTTTTGCAGTCATTTACGAAACTAGAAAATGCTCTCGCTAGTAGATTAGGGGATGAATTGCGAAGGAATAAGTGTGGAGTAAGTGAGTTCGAGGTTTGGACCCTTCTTCATGAGAGCTCACTGAAATATCGACGAAGTCTCTATTGAAGATATTCTGCTTCTAGATAAGGTTATTTGTAGTTTTAAGGAAATGAGGTTTAATTGCTTAAGATATTGAAAATCAAGTTTCTTTAATGTACAATATATGGTTTTTACAAAAATTAGGAATGTTTAAAAAATACTTCTTTATTTTTTATTTGTACAATTTTATATTTTGCCCAAAACTTCAAAGTGAACAGAAATTCTTTTTGAGATATCTAATTTTATTCTACCTACTTTAGTATAAAGGTAAATATCAAAGATCATAACACTTCTTTGACAATCCACAAAAGACATAATATAACAATTGGATTTAATATAGTTTAAAATATATCCATATTCCAAATGTATTTAACATTTGAAATATGGAATATCTAATATATATATTAGATTATTCTATTTTGTGTATCATAATCACATAATATTAATTCAGCCTTGTATGTTATTGATTTAAAAGTATCTTTGTCATTTATATTTATATTAGTAAAAAATATATATATATATATTTATATAGAAATAGAAACTATGAGCATATAAGATTTTTATCTTCATATTTATCTTTGTAATTTTATACATGCAACCATATATTATTAATATTGTATATTATTCTTACACCAATATGTATATGGCTTACGTACAAGCACACTCCAAGTTGCTACATATACACCCATTATGTCTATATATATACACACCCAAGGCTTCTAATTGACTCATTTAGATCTCTTTTCTCTTGTCTCAATGTGGCTTCCAACCCCATCTCTTTTTCCTGTGTCCAAATGTGGATCTTGGTTCCCCTTTCCTAATCAAAAGTTTGCAAAAAATTAAGCTATGCATTAGGTTAATTCATGTTCTACCTATAATGGTTTAAAATAGTATGATCTTTGATATTTACCTTATTTTGCTGCTAATAGGATTTACTCGCCTACTATGTGCAAGCTCTTGTAGTATTTGTTATTATCTAAGGATATTACATATGCATGAGACATTGGCTCAAAGAAATAGTTATAGTATTGGTGGTTCCATTTATATATTATTTTTGTCTTGGACTTTCTTTAGTTTCTCAAAAAATTCATTTAAGCACAGATTGGTTGGACCTTTGAGTAGGGTTAATTTAGGACTTTTGCTAATTTGTATATTGACTAGAAAGAATACATGTAGTGCAATGCAAAAATTTGGGACTTTGGATTTGTTGCAATAAAGCGATGCTAAAGAACATAACTCATTTTGTTTTATGTGTTAGAGGCAATTCTTGAGAACTTTTATTTCTTCTCTTGATATTCCAATTTGCTAAACAAGATTGTCACTTTGAGAGGAATGTTCTTGCCAACCATCATGTTATGTAGACATTGGAAGTATAGTTTTTATGTGAAATGTTTATTCATCTGATTATTGAAGTAAAAGAACATAGACAAAAAAATCCAGATGCCCTACATTGAGATGATGGCTCTAAGTTGCGTGAAAGAAGGAGAAGAACCTTAAGAAGGTATGCAAGAAGATTTTGTTCAAGTAGCTAACTTCTAAGCTTGGAGAAGTTAAGAATGATTATATAAGCATATCTTATATATTGAGTTCTTCAAAGCCCTTTTGACAAGGGAGGAGAATTGAGACCCTCTTTTTAGCAAGGAAGAGAGAGAAGAAGGTTGGAACTCACGCTTGGACAAGGGAAAGAAGGAAGGAGGCTAGAACTTGAGCTTAGGGAAGAAAGAGAAGAAGGAGGGCCAAGACCCATGCCAAGACAAGGAAGAGAAATGAGACCTATGTTAAGACAAGGAAAAGAGGGATTGAGACGAGCATTGAGAAAAGAGAAAATAAATGTGGATGAATCAATGAGAAGCCTTGGATGTATGTTTTAACATAATGGATATAACAAATTGGAGTGTCCATGTAGCCCGAGCTTATATATATATATACAAATATATATGAAATAAATATATAAAGATTTTTTTAAAATTTAGTACATAAATAATCAAGTACTATAATAGATTTTTTTTTATTGAAATATTCTTATTTAAAATGTAGATTTTTAATGCAAGAAAGTATTATAAATATAGATACCAGCTAAATTTTTTTTGTAGAAAAGGTGAATTTAGAATTATTTTATTTAATAGAATAAGTGAAGCCATTATTGTTAAGTAGGCTAATGTATTTTATATTAGTAATAGATAGAAGAAGCTAAAAGAAAATAACAAATTGGTAAAAAGAACATGAAAAATACAAGTATACAAGAACAATAAGCAACATTAACAGTTAAATTTGCTATCTTTATAATAAAAAATGATATTAAATGTATGGATTTATATTTAATTTTTGGTATAATATAATGCATGTGTTGGGCTTATTTTTATACGTTTTGTTAACTAAAAGAATAGTTGTACTTAGGAAACAAAACAAAAGACCACAACTTTAAAATCATTCAATTGAATTAAATTAAAAAGTCTTATTTATTTTTCTTTTAAATTAGAAAATATACATATATATATATATATATATATAAAGGAATCCAAAGGAGCTACTTAAATATTTTGAGAAAAAAACTACTTTTAAAATTCTATTTAATAAATGCACTACCCATTGATGTAATTATAAGGTGTACATAGTAAATATTTATTTAAAACTTAGAATTTACGGATGTCCAAAATTGATTGACATGCTTACTTATCCTGGTAGTCCACAAAAATGAACTCAAATCAAAACACAAATCATGTCAAAATATTATACCACACATATAATAAAATCTTAATAAACTATAGAAATTAATTCTTCAATCATTGTTAGGATTTGAGAGTGAGACATTCTTTCTAGAAAGAACCTTCCATGCCACTCGTGCTTGAGTCTCTAGTTCTCTTCTCACTCCCACCCCCTCCTCCCTTCCATATCAACAAATACATATTCAATAATGAATGCTACCTCCTCTATCCAAAAGACAAATGGGCATAATCCTTTGCCCAAATAATCTATGATGAATGAGAACCCATAGGATCATATTCATCCACGTAATAAAAATTCTAAGAGATAAATAAAAGATAAATAAAGAGAGAGTGAGAAAGAGGGGGCCATAATTGGATAGTTCACAAAGGAATGCATCAAGATTCGGGAGCCGGCGGAGACGCACCGGGACGGCATAACTGCCACGATGAGGCGGTGCCGGGCTGCCCGCGGGTAGCTCTCCGGGCTGCCGGAATTTCGTTTCCCGCTCACTGGTGGGCTGCCCGTGGGTAGCTCTCCGGGCAGTTGCAACGACTGCCAGTGCGTTTATCAAGCGACTGATCTCCGACAACAACTCTTGAATGTTGTTGTTTCTTTGTTCTTCGTTTGTGTTCCCGACCCTCATTCCTCGTGCTGTATCTCATTCTATCGGGCCTTCCACACCACCGCCATCGCTATTGCTGCTGCTGCTGCTGCTGCGCTTCATTAGCCGTGCGCGCGCGCTACTGCGTTCTACGGCGAGGTGATAGGGAGCGCTTCTTCAAAGCGTATTGAGCGTCCTTGGGGGTACTCTTTCTCGCTGGCTTAATGGTTAGGAGCACGATGGTGTGTCAATTCCATTTGGGATTGAGGTGTTTGTGATATTTTTGACTAGGGTTTAAGCTTTGAGGAGGATCTTAGGGTTTTTTTTTTATAATTTGAAGTTTATTTTGTGGGAGGCTTTAGTGGCGTGATTTTAGTTCCTATTGCGAGAGGTTGGATTTTGATGCTGCGATCAGTTTTTGTTTCGGTTTTTGAGTGCTGAGATTGAAGTTTTTTCAGCAATTTTGGGGAGTTTTTTTCTTCGTGTGCTCCTGATTGTGGGCCCCGGACTTCATCATTGGGGCCCTCTGCAGGAGTTTTTTAATGTAATGTGTTGTAGCGAGCGGTTTCTGCGCTTTAGGGTTTTCTCTCTATCAGATTTTCCGGGCTGGTTTAGGTGCTTAGCGTGTGTCGTTGCTGTCTGGTTCTATTGACACGCAGCCTTCACTTTGATTGGTTACTATGCATTGGGTTTGTTCTGGCCAATGCTTTGGATGTATTGGCCTTTGCAAATTTCCGGAGGCTATATCCTCTGAGGATGTAAATTGCAGCGATGCTGGTGTCTGAGCAATGCACACTGTGAGTTGCGACCTTCAGGTCCAATACTCGAGTAGTCTTAGGTTGTAGTTCTAGAGCTCACAAAGGTCATGAACTCTTGTCTCGGTAGTTATAATTTTAGCTCTGCTGTTTGCCAATGCTCATGTTTCACATGATTTTTTGTTGGGTTTTGTACTCAAATTTTCAAATTGGAACTCAGGCTGCGGGAGATTCTGAAGAGTAATTTTCGTTCAACGTCTTAAATGGCGGAAGAGCTAGATGATGACAGGGATGAGGAGTGGTTCAAAGAGGTATATGGAACAGAGTACACCGCCCCTGCTAGAGCTACAGGTGCTACGAGACGAGCTGTTGAACCAGCTCCGCCTAAAGTCGCTAACAAGCGTGCACCCAATCCGAGTGATTCTGAAGAGGATGAGGAACAGCGAGATCCTACCGCAGTTCCTACGGACTTCACTAGTCGGGAAGCAAAGGTTTGGGAGGCTAAGGCCAAGGCTGTGGAGAGGAATTGGAAGCGTAGAAAGGAGGAAGAACTTACTTGCCGTCTTTGTGGCGAGGTTGGGCACTTCGCACAGGTAAGCGTTGCATTGCAGATATGGGTTTTCCGTCTCTTGATACTTTGAAGCATAAGTTTTGTGATGGTCGTGCTCAGTGGTGAAGAGAATCTTTGCACTCGCGTGCAGGGTTGTCCAACGACTCTTGGGGGGAATCGTAAGCCTGGAGAAATAGTGGAACGCATCCCGCTTCGTGATAAGCGATTAAAGCCCCGGCTTATAGGCACCGGCGGTGCTATCATACAGGGCATTGAAAAAGAGACTGGTTGCCGCTTGAAGCTCGAGGATAATTTAACTGTTGGGAATGGGGCCTTTTTTGTGAAGATTACGGGTCCTGATAGAGTGGCAGTTAAAATGGCAATGACATCTGTGAATAAACTCGTAGACCAAGTAGAAGATGAGTGGAAGCAACAGGCTAGTGCTCGGAAGCCACAGGGAAGAGATCGAGAAAGGGGAGATAGAGGAGTTTATCAAGGTATGGGTGCGGGTCATAGCCCTGTAAATGCCGCTCAAATGCAGCATGTTGGAGCTCTAAGACATCAACATGATAAAAGCAGTCTAGGAGGAACTGGTCGCAGGGGAGATCTGACTACTCCACCATTGGATGAAGAGAAGCGCACGATTGAGCATATAGCGTCTCAACTGGAGGCTCGTAGGCAGTGGGAAGCCGTATCGGGCTCTTCTCCGCAGTCCTTGAATGGCTCATATAAAGAGGGTAAGTCAAACCCTTAGCCCTACGTACACCATCGTAGCAGACTGTTGTAGAGCAGCTCCACTGAGAGAGGGCATAGCAAAATCCTGGTATGACTTGGACATTAGTGGTCTGTTTGTTTCCCACAAAGAAAGTTCGGAAACCACTTATCCTCTCTTTGGAAGCTACCGTATGTAGCTCCTTCATCTGGAGCCTTTCAGGTAAGTTTCTGCTCGATCGATGATATCGCGATTTTCTATTAATGTGGAGACCGGATTGCGCATATGATTCATCGTGGATCAAAGAATGAGTGTCAAAGCGGTAGTATCTGTGCTCTGAAGATAGCAGTGGTGCGGTAAGTGGCCATCTTCCCTGCTGTCTGTGGGTTCGGATTAAACGGTGTAGCCCACTCAGCTCGACCTAGTCAGGGGAACCCTCATGCTTTACCCCTCATTTTCGTGAAGGCCGCTCTGCTTCAGGATTCGGGAGCTTGGCACCACCACTGCCTGGTGAAGTAGATGTCGGGGGTGCCTACTGCCCAGACAGTGGTGTGTCATACCCTGGCCAGGCTGATCAAGCACTAGAGATGGAGCCGGTGTATAATGCACAAAGTCTGGATGAACTTGAACGTCGATTCCTGGAAGAGACTATCGAGCTTACCAAGGATCAAAACAAGGAAGAAGACAAAGAAAAGTCTCGCCATCGCGAGGTTCGTACTGGTCTTTGTAATATTATCTTCGCTGCAGTCGAATGGAATCTGTTGGTGCATAATATTTTGATGTGATCGTAGCAAAGTAATGAAGGTTTTACTGTAGCATTCTTTTAAACCTAAGCGTTGAGGATCGTATTACTGAATGCTTCGTATTATAAATACTTTTTCGTGATCTGGTGTGGTTCCTGTGTAAGTAGTCATAAATGCGCATCTTTCGTAAAGCATAGAAATGAGAAGAGAATTATAATGCCGATGTGCCCCATAACTTTTGCAGAAGCTTCGAGAGATTCAAGAGCAGTTTCAGCAGAAAATGACCACACTCCGAGCAAAACAAGCCAGGCAACGTGAAGGTTTTCTGCGGGCCGAAGCCCAAAGGCGATATCTTACACCGGTATTAAATCACTCACATTACCAGTACAGAGGTTCAGGGGGCTCAGTGCAACCAGCTCTATCTTCTGGGAGACCTGCCTCAAATTATCTTGATCCCTTATCTGCGCGTGCTGTTTCAGCACATGCTGACCCCTTACCCCAGTATGAGGGATCTTATGATTCCAGCTATGATAAGGGTTACGAACAGAAACCTACCGAGTCTTCGCAGGTTATTCGAGCAACCTCTTACGATTCCTACTCTGAGGCTCCGTATTCATTAGGACCAACTTCTTCCTACAACAGAAAGCAAGGGTATGATATGCTAGGTAATGATAACAGTAATGAGTACAACAAATCTCATGTGTATGATACTAAACACTACTCATATGAGACTACTGCACAATATCCTGCATATGGATGATGTTCCGAAGAAAGGTGGGACGTTTTTCAAGGGGTACTGAACAGTTGCTAGTCTTGTGAGAGCACTCTTCATATGTCCAAGCACCCTCCATTGATATCAGGAATGAAGGTTCCTTCAGGACAGGTATGAAACTGCGGCAGTTACTGTTGTATGATATGTCGAATATTCTTTGGTATGAACGTTTCCATACTGCATGGATCCTTCGCATGGCTGGTCTTTTGAATTCTGGTGTGACCGATGATGCAAGTTTTCTGAGGGTGGTTGTTCTCATCTGTGCGGATAATGGTCATGATGTGAACTTCGACGTGAACTTGACATTGGAACATGAAAAATTGGTGTCAAATTTGTTCATTAGAAATCAATAATCGTAATAATTGTTAACAGAGCCATGAATAAGACATGTATTGTTTAGCTCCGCTTTTGGGCACCTCGCCCAGCAGTCGACAAGCTCTCAGATGTTTTTTTTTTACGCTTTTCCAAGTGCTTGTACAGCTCTTCATTAATCAACTTGTATTAAAAAACAAAAATGCCCTTTCTCACTTCATGCCATCTAAATGTATTGCTCTGGAAGTAATGGATCCTCTTCAGCAGCTGTGCATGAGGAAGCTCAAATCTTGCCCAGTCATATAACGAATTGGGACTGCATGGTGAAGCCAGTGTTGTGATTATGCATGTTGGTGCAGCTAGTATTTTCCACCAAGTTACCTTAAAAGTACAGCGGGCTGCTGATCAGAATTGGAGCCACTTGAAGTGCATGTCAATGGATTTGAACTTTTTGGGGCGATCTTATTGAGCAGTCCCTTATGGTGTGAAAGATAAACTCATGGATATGATGTTTTTTGATGACCATCTTGCAGTTCACTGATTGTTGAAGAGGTTTATCTCTTCTTCTGGGCAACGAACCTTCACATCTATGGTTTAGCAGCATGTTTTGCAGTATTTTAACCACGGATTCTTTGATCACAGCACTAGGTTTAGGCTACCCTTAAGGACATTTGACTGCTTTGCAACTTCAACAATATCAGTGTTCCATCTCTCATCTTGTTTCCAAGCTTGATTTATTTAGGTGTTACTCTAAACATACGAACTCTTCATGTTGTGGCGCAGTGCTTTTGGGTCTCTCCTAATCAGGACCCGATTGAGAAATAATTATTTGAGAGTAACCTTGTTTTGAGACGATTGCCCTAATTTTCCTTGTTTCTGCAAATAAGGTTAGCTACATGGTCAACTACTACAGCTATGCTTTTAATCACCACCTTTGATGTACTGTTCTTCAATGAACTGACAGCAGTACATGCTTGAGAGGAGCAGCTTGAAGGGTATCGTAGTCATCTTTATATTATCTCATCCACCAGGTCTGCGCACCCTAAACACTACAGGGAGTTGGTGGGTCAAGTTGCTAGCTATCTGAATGTACCTGCCGTTATTGAGGATTTGAATCCCACATAAAACGCTTTGGTTTAATTAAAACAAGGATAGTTCATAGCAAAAACGTGACTCTCGTCAAAGCTCGTCTTCTAAAATAAATTGCTTTTTCTATCTGATAGATTCTGATGTATATCAGGCTGAAGAAGTCAGAATTTGATCTGGAGGTGGATCTATTAGGCCTTATTGATGTCTGTTCAGTGCAATGTGATAACAAACGATCTCTTCATCCCTCTTCATCTTACTGGTGAGACCATTTATCGGTGCCCTGCGTCTTTTAGTCTCATTCAGTTTTAATATAAACTTCGGAACCATTTTCCGTAACGCAAGACACGCCCCCATTTAAGTTTTTTTGTTCCCAAGTACCGCTTGTTGAAGGTTGCATTATATTGTCCCGCATTCGAACCTATTTGTAAATTAAATGAGTATTTCATCAGACAATTTACCAAAGAAATGTGGTAGGTGACTCAGCCTGGGTCTGTAAGCCTTCTGAGACTTGATTGGAAACAATTTAAAGTTCACATCCACTGGAAAGATATCTGTCTCCGCACGACTTGCAACAATAGCAGGCGGTGTAAACTCTTATCCTGTGCGTTAAAGTGACTTCAGCTCATTCTCTACCCCCTCGTATGTTCAACGATCCTGTTTTGTATGATTTATTTTAGGTTGAAGTTTGACATGATAGGACTTCACGAGTAATCTCCAAGAAAGGAAGTTGTGGCCTAGGATTGGAAACAATTAAGTCGCTTGTGCACGTGCTATAAGGCAACATCAGAATGAAGAAGGCGTCGGTCTTTATTCTAGCTCACCACCTGTTTTTTAGCGTTCCTTGAACCTGAAGGATGCTCCATGATCTTCGTGTCTTGATACTCTTGGGCTTCAGAAATCTCATCACAGAGACCGTCAGATGGCAGGCAATGTTTGAATAAAAACTTTCTGATTAAGTGGGTTATAGCAGCTAACATCATGCAACCTGTGAAGGTTGCTTAACTGAAAGTTCAAGATCCCTTGACTATTGGACCGCCACTACATGCAACCTGGTTGTGGCAGCCCCTTCATCAGATGGCTAGTAAGGTGCTTGCTCTTCATAGATGATGAAAGACTCAAAGCACCTCCCAAAAATGCTTTTGCATGTGCTGAACGTCAAGTGATACTTTGGTCTCTCTTCCAGGAATCGTTTAACACTAGGCGTGTCGCCAGCCGCCCCAGGAGGTACCCTGTGAAATAACTACAAGAATGTCTCTACTGTGTCCCTATTTTTGCTGACATCAATTGAAAAACAAAATATATTCTTCCATGCAGGGATTACTGTTCCTTGGCTAAGCCAATAAATTAAGATTATAAAATTTACAATCAGGATTCACCTCACAAGCAATTGGTTCTGAGGTTTACTTGAAACCTTCTTCAATTTTAAGGGTGCTTAGAGTAGAGTCTGATGATTGTTCACTTTGGTTTCTCCTTCCATCCAGACCTCTCTGTTTTCATAAAGGCTCCAAGTATGATTTGGAGACGACCTCTCTAAATGATTTTGTGGCAACTTGTTTTGTATTTCTGAATTCATAGAACTACATTCGTGAAATCAATAATACGTGGCAACAGTGCCGTTTTCAAGCCATTACTTTTTCAGTGTTGGCTGTTGGTGCATTGAATGAAGCGAGGATGTCATCAATTTGCATGTAATCAAATTCAAAGCAGATGTACATTACCAAACTTCACCACTATTCAGAACAGGATAGCAGGTTTTAGGAAACATGAAAATTATCCTATTACCATGTAGTGCAGTATAGTATCCACTGCTGTGGTCTCTCGTTTCTGTTTTAATCCCAACTGACATTCAAACGCAAGTTGCTGCAACATTCTGCATAAATAAATTTTGAATTTGGTGCCCTAAGACACCAACCAAAATCACTAAATTTAAATTCTCATTTGGGAAAAGAAAACAAATTGACCTAATGTTGCTTAATTTTCAAATATGCTCTGGCTGGTTTGAAGTCTGCTTGATCAAATGCCCATCTTGACATCTCAATTTCTTTGTTTTTATTTCTCACTCTAGCTACAAGCTTGTCTGTCCGCTTAATGATACGGTTAGTTCAACACCATGCCAATCACCACAAGTCTAAATTTCTTGTTATTTTATATTCTTTTAAGGAATTCGTCAATACTCTTATGTTTATCATCTTGGTGGATGCTTTGAAGTGTGAGTTACTAGATGTCTTTAACAGATGGCAGGAGTGCTAAAGCTGCTTCTGGTTTTTCCTGCTGTGGCGGGAAGATGTCTCGAATCCGCTGAGAGCGAAGGTTGTGATGCCCAAGACAATTTTAAGTGTGTTTTGGATACAAACTCTACGGGGAGTTAAAAAAAAAAATGCAAGAGATAAATCACGAAGACCTATTCCTCTCAGTAGCTCATTGTTCCAGGTTTGAGGTCCTGCCCAGCCGAAACAACTGGACAAGGTTTCTTAACTTTCTCTTGGTCAATCTTTTGACCAATTGAGTGGTTTTTTCCTCAGCGAATTAACGCGGCAATTGAGAACACCAAATTGCTGAAAAAACCCAGTGCAGCATTGATTCGTTGATGGCCATTAAAATATGAGGCAATCCATTACACAAATTAGGTTGTTATGTAGTTGTTGTGTTTCACTCCCTTCGAATGACTAGAACCATTCGTAGAACTATTGTTACATTATATGCTTCTAACCTGTAGCCTTGTGGAAACAAAAGAAATCAAGTGCTGTGTATCGAAATGCACTGCATATTTGGTACATCAAGAACCTGTCTATTTTAGATCTCAATGCACGCTCATCAACTTTTAATATAAATGTACTGATCAGCTAAAGTACAGCCCACGCAAAAATAAATTTCAAATTCCGTTGTTATATCTCATCGATTAACTGAAGACCCTTCTATTGCACTTCATGATCTACCAGAAGATTGGCTTCCTTCGATTCCGAAGCCAATTGCCATGGTTTAGTAACTTGAGACAAAAATTGGAGGTTCCTATTCTGTGACAACTAAGTGAGCATGCAATTCAAAAGACCAAGACAGGTACACAAACAGGGACATTGAACTGTGCAGGAAGGGTCGTTACTCTTGGCAGCAAAAGAAAAAGCTCTTTAAATGTAAACTGGAATCAAGACAGGTAGCTAAAAACTTGGATTAAGTTCATCAAAAATTGAATACAGAAATGTTTCGATTTTCCTGAGCACTCATACTTCATTAAGTACACACATTGAAAAAAAAGTTAGGATTGAATTGCAGTTTCGCATCCCAAATTTACATGAGCATTTGATAGTTGACTATACACGGGCCTACCTTATCCTTCAAGAGTTGGCATGATTTACATGCATACATAAATACAAATGTGTGAATTAAATTGGAGCAGTCCCGGGACAGGGACAGTGACACACAGCACAGGACCACACAAGCGGACAATGAAAGCTCGATAATCATAAACAAGAAACGTAGGACTCCAATCATCAAAAGCTCCCCAGCAACACCCCGTCTAATAGTTTGAGATCGACATACAAGCAAAACAGTAAACTGGGTACATTGATGATAAATTCAATACTAAGCATGAGCTGTGGGCTAAATGTAATTACTTAGCCACAAACAGCTTACAAGAGAGTAACAAAAAAAAAAATTAAAATTAAAAATTAAAAAAGAGGGGGAAAAAAAGAAAGAAGAACAGCCTGTCGTAGCCTATTCGCCAGCTGCCGATTAAAGACCAACGATGAGTTCAAACATGTCTCATCCTGAACCAGCGAACATCCAAATATACCAGGTTTGGTATCTGCCAGGAACGTCCCTTGGTCTGCTCAATACCGGTAGTCTAAGCACACACTCTTGAACGGAGTTTATATACCAACAAAGCTGCTAAAGAATCACAGCAGGAGCCAGAGGGCATCACGAAGCCAGTTAAAACATAATCAGGTCATCGGCATTTTGCTTCTTCGATTTCTGGTTGCTCCCTTCGGCTGCTGCTCTATTCCCAAAAATCATCTCGTCCAAGTCGGCCATGGCCGCGTCGTCGTGTGTCGAGCTGGGAGGAGCGCTGGGCTTTAAGTCACGCTTCCGCACTAGCGAGGCTTCTTCAGCAGTACCGTGGGTGTCGTCGTCGTCCAAAGCTTGAACATGAACGAACGTGGACTCTGCTGCTGGTTGAGTTTGCTCCGCGGTTCCCTTCGACATCTCCTCAAACTTTGTCAGGACGCGCTGAAGGTCGTCATTCACGTTCAGTGCCTCAAAGAGCACTGGATCGGCGTCGCCTGTTCTCTCCACAATTCTCTGCACCTTGAACTGAGAGCTCCGGCATTGTTCCACTAAGGTCAATGTCAACTCTTCCTGCGATAACGCAAGTGATAATGATGAATGGAAATCTTAGCTGAATATCATCCAATTTTGGAAGCTCTCGAAATGTCTAAAAAGCGCTTAAAAGGAGAACTAACACATCGTAAATCAACCAGATAAAAGAGAGATAATATGTGCCGTCAATACATCCTTCATCGAATTGTGTTAAGAAATATATCGAGAAACTTGCTCTTTTCCCCTTACCTTGAGAGCTTCTTGCTGTGGAGACGACGTCAGAACCGTGTTCAGAAGTTCTACACTGTTGCGAGCCACATCAAAGACTTCCTTAGTGTCCTCTGCGCTCACATCGTGAGCTACAAAGCCAGTCAAATCCCTGGAATGAAAGCTGCCGGCAATACCTCCATTTCCTGGTGGGCTTGGCCTTGTAACAGACTGCGGGGGGGTGAAAATGGGAGCAAGACTTTCCTCATCTCGTCCTGGGAATCTGATGCCTCTTGATTTTAAGCTCTGCAGCAATATGGCACCAGTCGAAATCGTGTAATTATTGTTTCCTAGCGATACGTTGGAAGCAACATCTACGATTCAATTCGCAAGTTTTATCGACCATCAAATTCTTACAGCCTAAACTTGATTATCCGTAGCACTAGATCAAATAATAAGCGATTCACTAAAACTCTAACTTAATCTGAGAAGGAAACCCTACACCATAACATAGTCAAACCCCAGCGTTGTTGTCAAGGTCATGGTGTTTTCAACTCTTCAACTAGGGACCTCCCTCGTAGCGTTCCAGTTAGATCAGAGGCTTTCGTTAGAGCAAGTCTAGGTTAAAGACTCACCAAATCATGCATGCAAGTGGACAGTGTCACAATCCAGTAGGGAGAGGAAAACCGCCTGTTCAAAATACAAATTTGCAATCCCGAGGTTGATGCGCTACAGGGAACGTTGTTTTGCACTTTCGACAGAACAGATGATGAGAGAATAGCATAAAACTAACCTTATACGTTTCCTCGAAAATTGGTAGGTATCGAAGCTCTTCGGTAGACTCGCCCCAGGCTTCGATCATTTTCAGGGACTTGTCGCGATTCGCCGTGGACGTGCTGCGATCGTCGACCATCTTCACCATCTCGTCCAACACCTTCTCGGAAGCCACTTCCGAAAACATCTTCTCGCAGTTCTTCACCACCATCTCCAGGAGCGTGAGCGCCAAATGCTGAATCTGGACACTCTTCAGCATTATCCGCTTCTTGATGGCTCTCGCGGTGTCCTGCCCGCTCAACTTCTCCAAATTGATCAAATCGCATATTTCTAGGTTCTTTTGCCAATCTGGCCCCTCCATGTCCTCCCCTGTTGCGTCCTCAACAAGCTTGTCCGCCTGGGTTGAAACCTGGAACAACTCCTTCATTTTATCGCTCATAGTGGACATCCGCTCGCTCATCTTGCGACTCAACTCCCCACTCCCCGTCTTCACCTTCTCCCCGAAGGCGCTGAACTTCTCCTTGAGATTTGCTCCATCCATAGTGAACCTTCACCCCTTTCCTCACTACCGATCGAAACCCTCGCCCCCCCCCCCCCCCACTAAACCAAAAATTCTGACAACACGATGAACACCTCAATTGTGTGCACGATCCAATGCAATAATTGAACAAAAAGAAACGCAGACCAAGATCATTACCACAAAAGTACAAAAAGAACAAAAATAAAAACCTCAAACAAAACCGAGCCGGAATTCGATGCCACCGAAAACACCCGGAGACACCTTGTGCGACTACAGTAAGCACAGTCGATCGTCGACACTGGAAGCAGGACACAGCCCGATGAATGGACGAATGAATAAATGAATGAATTCAATAGATGAATGAATAATTGGAACGCGATTCCGTCCCATTCATCCCTAGCTCTAACGCACAGAAAATAAAAATAAAACAAATTAAAAACGAAAAAACTATTCACATGATGTGTTCATGTAGATCAAATGCGAAGATGGTTTTGCTTTAGCTGCCTCTCCTTCAAACACCCACCAATAGAAACGCTTCCTAAGCTCGGAGCTGAGTCCATGGGCTTCAGATAGAGGCCTACTTTTGCTACACTAATTAGTGATTTCACTTAAAATAGAGGGGGTCTTACCTTCAATCGTAGGTATTTCTCATCTATATCCATTGGGTAGTATTCGTTGGGAAATGAAAGTACTTTCGTAGAAATGAAGTTCAAATGGGTGAGTGGATTGCAAGTTTAAGTGGACCATCGTGGGAAGTTTCGGAGGCGTGAACAGGAAGGTTCCTACTGGGAAGGTGAGCGAATATCTTCGCGGCCTTGACGAGTGAAGATGGGCCCCACCGATCGCATCCAGTGGGTTTTTTTTTTTTTTTTTTTTTTTTTTTTTACATCCTTTTCGCTGTACGATGTAGACTGAGGCCTCACGAGGACTGTGAGAGGCGAGGCAACGATCTCATCGACCAATCTGTTGAGTGATCCAACGATCAAACAGACGGGTCAACAGAAGAATCCAGGAATATATTTTACCTTCAGCGGTGCTATTTTTTCTTTTTTCTTTTTTTCTTTTTTTGTGCTCTCCAAGCACACCACCCGCATGAACTGGGAGTGCGCTTCGTTCGGTGCTGCACCTGAGGGGGTGGGGTTCTCTATGATAGCAATGGGAAAAGCTAGAAAGGAAGAAATAGCTGGGTAGTGAAAGAGTGAGGTTCACTGTTCTTTGTGCGTTGCTCAAGCTATCATCCAAGCTCCGTTCGATGTAAGTGGAGAGTGCTTTAATTCGATAGCGCTTTACATGGCTTCTTCATGTCCCACCCTTCTTCGCGCTAGTGTGCTTCTGATGCCCCAATTTGCTGATATCTATGGGCAACGGCAGTCGAAGTGCGCCGCATTATTGATACATCAACTGTGGAGTTAAAATCTCTCGGGAAGAGGGAACCACGGAAAGGGCTTTATCAACGCGGAAACGTGCAGAAAAAGCAACACTTGCGCGGAGAGAAGGAACGGAACATTTGTGTCTGGGTGATGTTTTCCCAAGACAAAGATGAACGAAACGATGTCTTTGCAAGGAAACAGACGAGTCGTTGCTGATGCTTCATCATGGAAAACTCGCACGTAAATGCTCTATCAGACCTACTTGCTGATTGTACCAACGACCTCGCTGTTGAACACCAAAAACATCCTCATTCTCATTCCCAGCTCTGTAGTCGATCCTAACCCGACAGACGCAGCGTCAACAACTGCAATCCTCGAAACTAAAACATCTTGTAAGCATCATAAACCGCTTGCAGAGCATGAATCAACCACAGAGGGATTGGCCAGAGCAAGCTCGGGGCGGGCTGCAGGATCGGGAGCACTGGCACAATTATCATATTGAAAAATCTTAAGCAGTTGGCTAGTTCACATACACCGCTCCGACTTTCAAGATCTCTTCCTCGGTTATCAGCTTCATTGCCTCCGATCGAAGACTCGGCGACATTGAACAGATCCTGACGCCGCGAAGGTCCTTGAATACGATTTACGCAATATAACTACCCACTTCGTCGACATGTGCAAATGAAACTGAAATAGTACGCTGTGCGACAACCACCTCAAGATCTTCAAGGCTGCTATCAAACCCTAATTTCCGCATGATCGCAGACCACCCACCACATGAAAACAAAAAAGGAACAAAGAAAAAAATGAATATGATTTCTTCATTATATATTACGAGGATTATTTGGATGTGAATGTTTGTTTAGACTCGAAATTTCGCAATCCCAAAAAGTATAATATTTTCTTTCATAACCAAAACGTCTAATAAATATATATATATCAAATATATTTTTGAAATATGTTGAAATATCAAGAATATCCCTGTAATCTTGATAATAGCAAATATCCCCCTCACTTTAATTATAATTGTACATCTACCATTGAACTTGATAAGTATAACCATATTTTCATTTTAGGTGAATCCAGGCCCAAACCTCAAACCGGATGTCCATATCTAGTAAATTTCGACGAGACACTTTTTAGCATAAGTCAACCCTCACACACACAAGACTCTAGGGCTGCCGTGGAAACACTTCGAATCCCTCTCTACAAGAGAAGTTTGCTCACTCCGAGGTAAGCGGCCAAGAGAAGAGCGGCGACCAACTGCAACAGACTTCTTTTCACTCATTATATGTTTCGTGCTAAGGATGGATATTTTCCTGAACTCCATCTTCAACAAGTGATTCAACGTGGAAGCCAACAAAGTGAGACTATCGCTGTCGAGAGAAAGTGGCAAAATAAAATAGCAACCCTACTCATACACAGTTTGCAAAATCGTAACAAGACAAGGGATTGCGTCAAGGTCAACTGCAATTTGACGGTCGTTGTAAGTTGGAGTTGTTATGACGGAAAACGTAAGAGAGCTCTCGAACGGCTTAATGAAAATTTCCATTCCGAACAGCTCGAGGGCTAGACTTCACTCCCCAAAAAAAAAAATGAGGTTCAGAATGGCAGCAAATGTATTCGCAAACAAGAGATACCCAACATCTGAGCGGAGCTAGTAGAAAGATCAACAGTAATCCTGGAAACCGTGACCTCCTCATCAACACTAATTGAGTCAAAAAGTACCTCCAACAATGCCATTCTGTCAACACAAAAGAAATAATCCCCACCTCCAAATCCTCCCATTCCTCCTCGCCTGATCGCCTCGCTGCACACCCAAGACTCACTTCCTCACGACAACGTCATCGCTGCTGCCTCTGCTCCGTGTTACACTCCTCCACGCCTCCTTGCTGACTGACCACCACGACCATCCCAACCTCACACCGAGTAACGCGCTCACTCTCAGGGACCGCTCAGTACGCACACCATGCAATTAACCCTTCAATCGTCCACGATCAGGCACGTCAACAGCATCAAGCGCAGCACGGACGTCGCATCAAGGGCGGCTCCCAACGATGCACCACGCACCACAAATCATTCCGGAACCGACAAAGCATACTCTCTGCTGCAGCGAGCAACCACATCTCTACGACCACCACCCGTCCACCCGACTTTCCATCCAACAGACCGGACTGACCACACACACACACGTATCACACATTCACACAAACCACGGCGCACCACGCAAACAGAACCCATCCCTCATCACCGAAGGCAGCGACTTTGAATTCTTGTGCTCGTAGCACCATTGCATTATACAGTTTGCCTCAACCGTGCTGATCGAGACCCACTCACACTACAGGTCCACATGAAACGCTTCTCTAAGTGCATCCAACTGGGCCCCAATCGGCACAAAATTGTCTACCTCCCCACTACATGCCTACTCCAGCGCACCACCCTCCACAAAATGGCCGCCGAGCAGCACCTGCCAGACCACTCGCTTAGATGGCCTCGAAGTACTCCTTGCTCAGCTTCGAGTCGGGCTTCATGGTCTTTTCCCCGGGCTTCCACCCAGCAGGGCACACCTCGTCTGGGTTGTCTTGCACGTACTGTACGGCCTGAACCATTCCATCCTCTATCAGCCACAACCCCACCAAACAGAAACAGAAAAGACAGCACACACACGACTCTACTAACATCATCATCCGCACCCTCCATCGACCTCGCCGTAGAGCTTCACACTCCCTCGCCTCTCAGGACATGTCCCTCCTCACCTACACCCTCCATCCAAACGCAACCGTGCTGCACGCCATCCCAAACAAACCAAATACCACCCCGACGCGGCCACCTACACCACGGCGACACCCACGCCTCACACGACGTGCCCCAAAACCCAACTCACTCCAGACCCTCTCTCCCACCCACCTGCAAGGTCCGCAGAGTCTCGTCAACGCTTCGCCCAATGCCGAGGTTGTTGATGGTTGCGTGCTGGATCACTCCCTGCTTGTCGATGATAAACAGGCCCCTCAGAGCAATGCCCTGCCAAAACCAACGCCCCCCTCACTTAGCCCAACCCCACCGGCCAACTCTCCACCCCGAACCCACGTTGCCACTAAATACCCTCCCCGCGGCTCCACACCGCCAATCCCAACCCACAAGATTCATGCCCAACACATCTCCTCTCCCGCAAACCCTCTGCATTACCTGGTCCGGAATCAACACGCCGAATGACTTGGAGATCTTCTTGGTGATGTCCGAAACGATCGGATAGCTCAGCTCGCCGAGACCTCCCGACTTCCTGTCTGTCTGCACCCATGCGAGATGGGAGAACTGCAGCCATTACCATTGTCCAACGTCAGATGCTTCCACACATGAACCCATCCAACACGCCACATCCATTTCTGACACCACAAAACAACCACCCCTGCGCCTCCCCATTGCATGTCCACCTTTCCCACATTCGTCCCACCACAATCCTGCCCTGAACGGCCGTGCGCCTCATCGTGTACCCCACTCCCGACACATCACAACCACATCGCAAAGTTGACATAGAATGGACACGCACCACGCTGTCGATGGAAACACCGATGACCTCGGTATCCAGCTTCTCGAATTCGCTGTACCTGTCACTGAACGCAGTGATCTCTGCACGCCCACATCATTCCCCCCAAACTTCAGACCACGATTCCATGCCCAGCTCAAACAACCTTTCCTAAGCGCGCGCGCCCACAGGCTGCTATTCACGCCCGAACTCCAATCCCCTCAGCTATATATCATAGATAGAACTAGTAAGTCGATGCTCTCTTGCACAGCTCCTCACTCACGTCTCGCTCTACTCCCCTCCTCCCCAACCCCCCCCCCCGCCGCACAAAAAGACAGAACAGGCTCACCCTTCTTCATAACAAAACAGATTCTAAATGCACCACCCCCAGCCCGAGTCGTCTCTGATACCTGTTGGGCACACAAATGTGAAGTCCAGTGGGTAGAAGAATAGCACGACGTACTTCTTTCCAATGTACTCCGACAGCTTAATCTGCAAGGTAGACGGAGCCGCCCGGTCAGTCTCGATACATGCATAGTACGCACGAACCCTTGGTCGCCTTCCTCGAATCCAACTACACCCCACGACGCATGCAAACAACATCCGACTCGCACCTCCCTCCACCGCACATGCATGGCACTCCGCACCTCGCACTAGACCAACACTAACAGCTCCCCGCATCTGCATTCTCCGCAACTAACGTTGCTTCCGGGCCCGCCTACGACCTCGACATCCCGGGAGCACCCCACGCCACTCACATGGCCCGCACGAATTCGGAAGCCAATTCATATCATACTACTTCGGCGCGACCATACTACTCTTCTGAAACTGCACATGCAGAGGGCACACAACCCAACAACGTCTCCCACCCTACACCACCGCCACTCGTGAACTGCTATCATGTGCAAACAAACGCCGCAAGCCGCAATCCAGGCTAGTGTTACCACTCGTGCGCACTCAGGCCCGGTCAACAAATCCGTACCTTGATGAATTCCTGGTCAAAGACAGCCTCCGCCTCGAAGTCGGGTGCCACATTGCCGACAAGTGGCGCGTAGTCGTCCTCGGCCTGCACGGTCATTGCACACACCGGTTAGTCAACCCCGCACCACTTTCCCTTCCACACACTACTCCACATTCCATGATCCGAAGCGAACACCCGCCAATTCCTAGAATGCCATTCCGGACGACTCCCTCGCTAAGCACCACGTCGCTCGTCCACCCTCGACCCCCAATCACGATTACCGCGGTGCACAGAAAACATCAACGCCCAATAACACATTCCCGGTTCAAATTCCCCAGCGTGCACCAAGAGTTTGACCTAACGCCCGTGCCACTCCCTCGTCTCATTCAACTCTCATCCCTCCTACTCACCGAAGCCCTAGCGACGCCCCTCTTCTGCGATGCGGCCTTCGCTCCAGCTACCGCACCAGCCTTGGCGACGGCCACATTGGCAGTGGCGACACGAGCACCGAAACTCTTGCCCAGGCCGCAGAATGACTTGGGCACGGCCAACGAGGTGGACGTGCCGGAGGCAGAGGACGAGCAGGCCGCAGACGGAGCGCGGGGGATCACGACCGAAGAGGCCGCGACGCCGGAGGCTGCTGCAGCACACGCCATAGCCACGATACGATGAGCGACGCAAAAGAAAAATTCTCTGCTGCGCGGAGAGTGCGAAACTGGGATGCTTTCCGATAGAGTTGAATCAGGGACGGTAACAGGGTCAGGGCCTCCGAGGGCTTCTGGAAGCCCGTGATGCGGCTACCGTCCATTTGTTATCCGCACATTGGGCAATGGCACGGATCGTCCGTCCCCGCGGATATGGGGATCCTTTCCCATGGCTGTGCCTTCGTCCATAGCTGGGCATCATCGTGCGTGTATGTGTGCCTCAGTTTTTAGCATGGTATCCACAGCCCGTGATCCGAAGTTTTTGGGACAATACTTGCAAAACCATCCAAGAAGAGGGATGTGCAGATGACTGGGCATTCACACCAGTGTCTTGTGAAGTCCTGTCAATTATGTTCTGCATTGCGCACAGCAATTATGTACTGTTTTATGAGGACCTATGGAATATGAATTATGTACCGCATTGCACACAGTTTTTTCCCTTTCTTTTCTTTTGATTTTATTTGGCTTTTTTATGCCAATTTTTTCTTTAGAGCTCATAGGTAATGTCTCTTTCGTAAAGCTGCTAAGTTGTGTAAAATCAATCTTAGACTATATTATGTCATTATAGGAAGAGTCACTTATTATCCATTACACTGGGTCAAAGATCATTAGTATTGTTATTATTTTGTTCATTTACTATTATTTTTTATTATTATTTTTTTGTTTTTTTCTCATACAATGCATTGTTATGTTGGGTTTGTCTGGTACAACTAAGGAGGATAAGTGTGGAGATTTTGGCATTGTTTTGTTGCAACATAGTAAGATTATGATGTAGTAGGAAGAGACTAAGTGATTCTATTGGATTAAAAGGTTTTAAGTAAACATTGTTGCGATTTAGTAGGTTGTAGTGCAACATAATGTTAGAGCAATGTGTGAAGTGTTGCATCGCATGAAGGTTTTAGTGCTCTACAAGAAAATTCATTACTGAAGCTAGTTGTGAGGATTACTTATTCCAACAAGAATTACATATTAAAGTTACATAACGGCACAATTTTGCACTAGCATGGTTGTAATTGATGAACAACATTGGTCTTCTACAATATTGGAATTACAGTATAATATTTGAGGGTTGTTGCTATTTCTTGTCAATCTTGGTCGTATTTTTTGAAAACTTTGGACATGAATAGGTTCTTGCATGCTTGGTTACAATGTTCTTGAAGGAGGTGACAAAGATTGTTTTGCCTTATGTATTTTTTCTAAAAAATAAACAATTTTATATTTATGGATTTGATTGAGATAAAAAATAAAAAAAAAAAAAAAAAACTTTTGACAAGTTTTGTTTTAACTATTGTAGGGAATAACCTCTATAGTGATTTATTTTTCTAATGTGGAGCAATTTTTATGTGAAGTCTAATTAATCATTCTATGATAGCAAAGCTTTGGCATCAATGAAGGCTATTGCTCACTTTTGACTTTATTTACATGGACAATAGTTTCTATAGGTGACTAATCATCAATGCTTGAAGTGACTCATGGAGTTAGACAAACTTATTCACAAGCTTGCTAGATGGCATTTGTGGCTTTTAAATACAACATTGAGATTATACATTAGACATACATGATCAATTAGGATAGAGTTAAACTTTTATTTTATCCAAGTTCTAATAAAAATAACTTCATACGTGTTGGATAGCATAAAAATTTTAAATGTGAAACAAGTTTTTGAATGGCATTCAATTACAGTCTTGACTTTGATATCAAGGTCTACATCTTTGATACTTATTCAAAGCTTTGATGATAAATTGATAGAACTTAAGCAATTAACAATGTATAGAAGGACCTATAATACTTGATATTAAGGTATGGTGCATAATTCTTTGTATCAAGGATCTATTACCTAATAGTATTTTGATGGTTGAAAACAAAGATCAATATGAATGTTGAAAATATTCTAAAAATTGTGCTCCTTGTCATCTTCATATTGATAATTCTATACATCTTAAATTTGTAGTTGTCCCAAATGGTCATTTTTGTTTTGTATGTGGTGGAAATAAAAGGTTGCTATCATACTAAAATGTGACCAATGCTAATATAGGTGGTATATGACATGTTTAATACTACTTCTTTAGACTCTTCTTTTAAAAAGTTATGTTTGTCTTTATTGTAAGAAGTCTTCAAGCTATGCCACATTATTGAAAAAGATTAAAAATTCCATCTTTCATGTTTGTCACATATTTTGGTGGTTTAGATACTACAACATTGGTTTGCTTAAATAAAGTCTTGTAGCAACACCGTTTTAGCAATCAAGGGTGCCAAATCTTGTCAAATAGATGTAAACAAATCTAATTTAGTATATTAAATTTTTATATAACTTAACATTATTCATTTGTTGATATTATAACCATCAATAAGGATTTGAAGACTTAGGTAAAAAACAGCCTTGACCTAAATTTCATGTGAAATCAAATCTTAAGTGTTATTTTGGGAAAAATATAAAACATTTGTTGTAAGTTGCTTCTTATCTATAAAATTAGCTTTTTATTCAAGTTTTTAAGGATTTTCTCTACACATACTTGCACTCTTAGATTCCCACATTGTGATATAAGAGATAGATTAACTTAATAGTATATAGATTTCCTATCTTTCCTTTTAAGTATATTATTTTATATTTGTACTTGGTTTAGATTGCATGATTCATAATTCATTTATGGCATACAATCAATTAAATATTACGATCTTCACTTACATAGACAAAATGCAAGATAAAAAAATAGAATATATATTACTCTTAACTAAGCACACAAAAAACATGAAGAAGTATCAAAATAACAAAGAGGGCAATAAAAACTTATGAAATTTTGAACTTTGAATCAATAAAAAATCAAGTTCAATAAAGCACCAAGAATCTAAGTTGGCGAAAAAAAAAATTATCCTGAAATTGGTTGAGTCATAAACATTCTTCCAAAAAACAAAAGTATCTTCTACATTGCCAGCTAAACTGTATAACATCAAAAAAAAAAAATAATAGTAAATGAACAAAATAATAACAATACTAATGATCTTTGACCCAGTGTAATGGATAATAAGTGACTCTTCCTATAATGACATAATATAGTCTAAGATTGATTTTACACAACTTAGCAGCTTTACGAAAGAGACATTACCTATGAGCTCTAAAGAAAAAATTGGCATAAAAAAGCCAAATAAAATCAAAAGAAAAGAAAGGGAAAAAACTGTGTGCAATGCGGTACATAATTCATATTCCATAGGTCCTCATAAAACAGTACATAATTGCTGTGCGCAATGCAGAACATAATTGACAGGACTTCACAAGACACTGGTGTGAATGCCCAGTCATCTGCACATCCCTCTTCTTGGATGGTTTTGCAAGTATTGTCCCAAAAACTTCGGATCACGGGCTGTGGATACCATGCTAAAAACTGAGGCACACATACACGCACGATGATGCCCAGCTATGGACGAAGGCACAGCCATGGGAAAGGATCCCCATATCCGCGGGGACGGACGATCCGTGCCATTGCCCAATGTGCGGATAACAAATGGACGGTAGCCGCATCACGGGCTTCCAGAAGCCCTCGGAGGCCCTGACCCTGTTACCGTCCCTGATTCAACTCTATCGGAAAGCATCCCAGTTTCGCACTCTCCGCGCAGCAGAGAATTTTTCTTTTGCGTCGCTCATCGTATCGTGGCTATGGCGTGTGCTGCAGCAGCCTCCGGCGTCGCGGCCTCTTCGGTCGTGATCCCCCGCGCTCCGTCTGCGGCCTGCTCGTCCTCTGCCTCCGGCACGTCCACCTCGTTGGCCGTGCCCAAGTCATTCTGCGGCCTGGGCAAGAGTTTCGGTGCTCGTGTCGCCACTGCCAATGTGGCCGTCGCCAAGGCTGGTGCGGTAGCTGGAGCGAAGGCCGCATCGCAGAAGAGGGGCGTCGCTAGGGCTTCGGTGAGTAGGAGGGATGAGAGTTGAATGAGACGAGGGAGTGGCACGGGCGTTAGGTCAAACTCTTGGTGCACGCTGGGGAATTTGAACCGGGAATGTGTTATTGGGCGTTGATGTTTTCTGTGCACCGCGGTAATCGTGATTGGGGGTCGAGGGTGGACGAGCGACGTGGTGCTTAGCGAGGGAGTCGTCCGGAATGGCATTCTAGGAATTGGCGGGTGTTCGCTTCGGATCATGGAATGTGGAGTAGTGTGTGGAAGGGAAAGTGGTGCGGGGTTGACTAACCGGTGTGTGCAATGACCGTGCAGGCCGAGGACGACTACGCGCCACTTGTCGGCAATGTGGCACCCGACTTCGAGGCGGAGGCTGTCTTTGACCAGGAATTCATCAAGGTACGGATTTGTTGACCGGGCCTGAGTGCGCACGAGTGGTAACACTAGCCTGGATTGCGGCTTGCGGCGTTTGTTTGCACATGATAGCAGTTCACGAGTGGCGGTGGTGTAGGGTGGGAGACGTTGTTGGGTTGTGTGCCCTCTGCATGTGCAGTTTCAGAAGAGTAGTATGGTCGCGCCGAAGTAGTATGATATGAATTGGCTTCCGAATTCGTGCGGGCCATGTGAGTGGCGTGGGGTGCTCCCGGGATGTCGAGGTCGTAGGCGGGCCCGGAAGCAACGTTAGTTGCGGAGAATGCAGATGCGGGGAGCTGTTAGTGTTGGTCTAGTGCGAGGTGCGGAGTGCCATGCATGTGCGGTGGAGGGAGGTGCGAGTCGGATGTTGTTTGCATGCGTCGTGGGGTGTAGTTGGATTCGAGGAAGGCGACCAAGGGTTCGTGCGTACTATGCATGTATCGAGACTGACCGGGCGGCTCCGTCTACCTTGCAGATTAAGCTGTCGGAGTACATTGGAAAGAAGTACGTCGTGCTATTCTTCTACCCACTGGACTTCACATTTGTGTGCCCAACAGGTATCAGAGACGACTCGGGCTGGGGGTGGTGCATTTAGAATCTGTTTTGTTATGAAGAGGGGTGAGCCTGTTCTGTCGGGGGGTGCGGCAGGGGGGGTTGGGGAGGAGGGGAGTAGAGCGAGACGTGAGTGAGGAGCTGTGCAAGAGAGCATCGACTTACTAGTTCTATCTATGATATATAGCTGAGGGGATTGGAGTTCGGGCGTGAATAGCAGCCTGTGGGCGCGCGCGCTTAGGAAAGGTTGTTTGAGCTGGGCATGGAATCGTGGTCTGAAGTTTGGGGGGAATGATGTGGGCGTGCAGAGATCACTGCGTTCAGTGACAGGTACAGCGAATTCGAGAAGCTGGATACCGAGGTCATCGGTGTTTCCATCGACAGCGTGGTGCGTGTCCATTCTATGTCAACTTTGCGATGTGGTTGTGATGTGTCGGGAGTGGGGTACACGATGAGGCGCACGGCCGTTCAGGGCAGGATTGTGGTGGGACGAATGTGGGAAAGGTG